CACATCCACTAAAGGGCTCTTTTTAAGCCAAAGGGGCTAATAATACCAAGGCAAAAGTCAAATCAAGGCAAAAGTCCCAAATTCGCCTAAATTCTGAGTAAGGTCTAGCAACCTCTTCTTCATACTGAAGCTAGACTTCAAGTACCAGAGAGGAGACACTCTTTCCCATAATCCTAAGGACTTTGTGAGACTCCCAGTAGCTAGCATACGGACGTACATGTCAACAGAAACGTCTCTATTTCCAAGCATTTATTCTAGGGTTACAGATAATCCCATTGAACCAAGACTGTCCAATGGAGTAGGGATTGGGCTAAGAAATGCTGACTTTGAGGACCAAAGTCCAGGCCCAAGACTCTGGTTCCACCACTAAATGTCCTCCTTACACTGTGGATTCATGCTCCTTGCCCTTATCTAGTCTGAGGGACTCATTAACCCCTTCAATACAGCCTCCTCTCCCCAGGCTGGGCCCTCTCACCTGGAACAACAGCTTCATCCTCGTTCTCATCCACTTCTGCCCAGGCCGCTTGCTGGGCTCGACGCTGGGCCTGTAGACGGCTGCCCAAGTCCCTCCGACGCCGGGGCCGGCCTCCAGTTCTCTGCTCCTCAGACTCCCGGGGCCATGGCTGGGCTACCTGGCCTGCTCCTGCCCGCTCTTCCTCAGTGTGCAGCGGTTCTCCACCAGCTTCGGGGAGGGAGGGACCACAACACGGTCAGGGAGGCCATCCTCTCGATAGTGGAGGAAAAGCATCTTGGGAGTCTCATCCTCTGCTCAATCCTTCCAGACTGTTGCTGCCCATAGCACACTGTTCCAACTTCGGTCGGTCAAGGCCTTTATTACTCATGCTTTGGTCTGATGCTATAAGCTTATTCCTCAGTTCCTACCCGTCTTAACACCTTTATTTCCTATACACTCACTCCCCTCCCCTTTGCGGGAGACCTGTTAGGATACTCTAACCCTGAGGTTTACAGATCTCACTCGATGCGCACTGCAAGACTGCATTTACTTCTTGCTTGATACTATGCTATAATTTTATAGGGTACTCCGACCAGGGAGCACATTTCACAGTCAGGGGCTGAATCTCCCCTCCCTGGAAGATTTGTCGGCTATCAGCTTGACCTCAGCTTCTCTCTCTTCTGTCCCTGGAGCACAGGAGCTCGGAAGTAGCTTATGGGGGTCTGGCATCAGAGACATACAGAAACTTCCTAAGTATACATGAAGTGTTAGTAAGGAAGACTGCTTTGTGCCAGGCCAATGACATGGCCTTCTGATCCTGGTGGAGGGGAGGCCAAGCAGCATGGGTGCCTGCCCCCTTTGGCGGGGAGGGAGATGCCTTCAGAGCTTCCTGAGGCTGCCTCGCCCTCCAATTCCTAGTAGGCAGAACACACTGGGCAGGAGTAGAAAACCTGCTGCCTCTCCTATTGGTGCAAGAGCAGAACGGCTGGCTTGGTTCCCGGGTAAGAGCGCCTAACCCTGGGCTCCGCACTGGTTGCGAGTGCATCCACATGCGCGTGCGCAGAGCTGTCGGCGGCCCGCGCACGAGCTCCTCGTCAGCACAGCGCGGCCCGTCAGGGCATGCGCACGGGCGGCGACGCCACGGCCTACCAAAGCCCCGGAACCCTGAGAAACGGACTCCTCCGGCCCGGGGACGGCGGCACCTCCTACCTGCTGCCGCCCGACCCCGGCTGCGAGTCAGGAAGAGGATAAGGCCGATGAGCAGGACCGCCGCCGCCACGTACACCCAGGGCCCCAGCATGACGGCAGACAGCCTCGCCGGGAAGCCGGCGCGCCCGCGGGACCCGGATCGCCAGGCCCCGCCCACTCCCGTACGCCCGCCCAGCCGCACGCCGTGCTCCGCCCCCGCCCCGGGGTGACCAGGGCCTCGGTTAACCCGCGGGTCCCGGCTGCCACGCGTGCCGGTCACCCCAGCGCTCGGGAAGTGGAAACCCGGAGACCAGCGTTTCAGGGTCGTCTTTGGCTATATAGCGACAGGGAGGCCAGTCTGGGGTTAAGAGCACTGGCTGCTCTTCCAGAAGGTCCGGGTTCGGATCGCAGCACCCACACTTTCTGTGATGTCAATTCCAGGGGATCGGATGCCCTCTTCAGAGCTCCTCGAGCATCAAGCACGCACGTTGTACACAGACATACATGCCTGCAAAACACTCAGGCACACAAACCCTTAAAGAAAGAAAGTGGGGGTGGGTAGATGGGCATCAGTTAAGCGGGATTGTAGGTTGGTAGTAGGCCCTTAGTTTGATCTTGAGCATTGAAAAAAGGCAACATGAGTGTTAATATCTTACTAATACTGTAGTTTAGGCATCTATTGCGTTATTTTCTGTAAGTTTTGCATATTTTGTCATTTCTTTTTCAAATGTTGATAAACCTAGAGCCTTCCAGGTGTTCGGCAAGTGCTGTTTTAGTAAGCTGGATCTCTAGTACCTACATTCTTTGTATTTGGAGATTTAAACCCATGTTCTCATTCAGGCGAAGGCTCTGCTGTGAACTTTTCTCTCAGCCCAGGCCCTACATTAGTTGTTTTGTTTTGTTCTGAGACCGGGTCTCTGGTAGCCTAGGTTGACCTCAGACCTGCTGTGTAGGAAAGGATGACTTGGAACTCCTGATCCTTTTACTTCATCCTCCCTAGTGCTTGGGTTAGCTGGGATGACAGGTATGCACCCTGATGCCCAGATGCTCTCCCATTTTTTTGTTTGTTTGTGGGTAGGTTGTTTTTTTTTGAGACAGTCTCATTTTATAGCTCTGCCTAGCCTATAACTCACTCTATAGTCAAGGCTAACCTCAAACTCACAGGGATCTGCCTGCCTCTGCCTCAGCTGTAATTAAAGGCATGTGCCACCACAGACCTGGCAGGCTCCTGCATTTTTTGACCAATACTACTTTACTTTGTGTGTATGTGAGTGTAGTATATATGTGGACCAGGTACTAGAGGAGGTCAGAAGAGGAACCAACCCAGATCCTCTGCAAGAGCAGTAAGCACTCTTAACCACTGAACTATCCCTCCAGCTCACATTTTAAAATTAATTAAAAAAAAAGTAAAATTGGCAGGATGGATGTAATAAAAATAGATGTTGATAATTATTGAGAGTTGGTTTGTGGGTGTTAAGGGTTCATAATAATTTCCTAGGTTTTTTGTAAGTTTGAAAAACAAGTATTTTGGCACATATTTTTATATTTCTGTCTATAACTGCTGAAGAAATACTTGCGTTTCTAACTACTGATTTAAAGTAATAACACAACCTGGTGTGTCGGGCTAATGATCTGGTCATTGCTGATGCAGTTACTGCTTGAAGATCAGACAGTGCAGAGGTTCCAGGCAGAGGTATCAGTTGAGAACCTCACCTGACTCCAGCTTCATTGTGTGTCTGTCTGTCCTTTCTTCATTCCTTTACCACCCTCACCAGGGGCCTAGGACCCAAGCTGCTTGGGATGTGGTTGTCTGGGATTATTGAATGAACTGACCACACTACACGGTATTTATCAGTGCTTATATCCAAATCTGTGACAAGCTCCTAGCCAGAGGCTGGAGCTGAGGCATTTAACATTCAAGAAGTCACCTTGGCTTTTAAAACCTCCTCTGCTCCTCCACCTTCCTGAGGATTCCCATTGGCTTCACGGAAGAGAAGACAAGTACCATATAGGGAGGGCTGCATACTCAACCCAGCCTTTCCCAGTCAACTCTAATAAGCCACAAGTCTGCCTCCCCACTGTGCAACTGAGGAAAGATTTTTGGAGAACATAGCTGTGGCTATTCTGCGAGGACAGTTCTAGGGTTTAAAAAAAAAAATCATTAGTGGCTGGGCATGTGGCTCAGTGGTACAGTGCTTGCCTAAGTTCAATAAGCCCCCAAGTTGCATTTATAGCAACATACAAATACCCAAGACTATAAGAGACCGATACTATTAAGGTAAACAACCAGGCCTGATTAGGATTCCATTATTTGTGTACTTCTGGGGTCCAAAACCAGGACCATGTCCATGCTATGCAAATGTTCTACCATTGAGCTACAGCCTTGACACAATATACAGCCCAGGCTAGCTTTGAACTCATGATCTTCCTGGTTTAGTTTCAGAGTGCTGGGATTACAAGTGTGCACCGCTTTGTCTAGCTAGCATCCCGAACTTCTTTTTTTAAAAGAAGTGTGTGTCTGTTTGCTGTACATGTATGCCTTCGGAGGCCAGAGGAAGGCAATGGATCCCCTGGAACTGGGGTTACAGACAACTGTCACGTGGGTGCTGGGAACAGAACCCTGAAAGAGCAGTCTGTGCTCTTACCCGCTGGGCCATCTCACCAGCCTGAATGTAATTACAACTTGTAGAGAACCTAGGTTTGGTTCCCAACGTCCACATCAGACAGCTCAAAACCACTTGTAACTCAAGGTTACAGGGATGTGACACCCTCTTCTGGCTTCAGTGGACTCAAATACACATGTGGTAGGGCTAATAGGGGCGTTCTAATTTCCTTGCTGTGTTCCCAATGCAGAGACTGGGCTGAAAGAAATGTCCCTGGAGAAGGGATGGAGTTTGATAAGCAGGACAAGAGAAAAGGAGTTGAAACACTAGCTCCCAAGCCTAAGAGATGGGTAAATGGCTTGGTTACGCTGTTTTAAGTTCGCAGTGAAGTAGATGGAGCTAGCCGGGGAGATGTGGGGCTGAAGGTAAAGTTAGGACAGAAACCCAGGCTTGGAGCCCTTGTCTAGGAGATAGTTTTCCATGACAGAGTTGAGGTTGCGAGGGGCGCACACCGCCCAGGACACAGGGCTAAGTTGGTCATGGCGCGGCTTCTCGGCTCCCCCTCGTCTTAGCCCGAGGGATCCGTGGCACAGGATCCCGGCGCTGAATGACCTCTCCTGCGGGCAGCGCGTCCCTAGCGCCTTGCGCAGCAGTTCTGCGGGAATCTCATCGGCCGCGGCCGCCACCTCGCGGTTGCAGGCAGCCGCAGCCTAAGCCGTGCTTTGGGTTTCAGGTAGGGCCGGAAGTCGGGCTATCTACTTCCGCCTCCAGCGTTCCCCGCATAGAGCTTCCGGGCATTCCCGGCCGTCACCAGCCCATGCAATGGCCGCTTCTTTGGCGGGGAAGAAGATCGTGTTTGTGACGGGAAACGCAAAGAAGCTGGAGGAGGTGTCGTGGGGTGTGGGGACCCTCTAGAAGGCGGGTGGAGATAGGGCTGCAGGGCTTTCCTCACCAGGGAAGCCCGGGAGGGGTGAGGAACACCGGGAGTTGGACCTTTGGGGAACGTGGGTTAGCCCCAGTGTGGACAGGCTGGGCTTGGGGAGAGATCTCCGTGGAGTGCGGCGCCTTGAGGATTTAAGGTTTTGGGTTTTGTTTTTTTTTTAATTTTGAGATTTATTTATTATGTATTCAGTGTTCTGCCTGCATGTGTGCCTGCAGGCCATAAGAGGGCGTCACATAGTTGTGAGCCACCATGTGATTGTTAGGAATTGAACTCAGGATTTCCAGAAGAATAGCCAGTGTTCTTAACCCTTGAGCCATCTTTCCAGCCCGATTCAGGAGTTGTTTATTATTATTATTGTTATTATTATTATTATTATTATTATTATTATTATTATTATTATTATTATTTTGGGGCCCTGTAGTCCAGGTTAGCCTGACCCAGCTGTGTAGCCAGGATTGACCTTGTTCTTGACCTTCCTGTCTCCCAGGGTCTGGGTCTACCTGCATGCCCCACCACACCCGTTTTGGGATGAGCTGATAAAGTCAGCAGACTATGAGAGCTAGAGTGGTGGCATCTGTGACAAAGATCGCCCCCTAAGTCCTAAGTTCTGACATCTCTCTGCCGCAAAAGTGATGGCAAACAGGAAGTGTGTGGGGTTGATCCAGACTGAGTAGTTCACACTCCACTGTGGTCCATCTTAGGCACTTCCCATATCTGAAATGTGTAATACCTCATAAGATTCATGACTGACCACAGCATAATAAAAGGCAGGTTAACAAACGAAAAACACAAGTTTGTCAAAGCTTTACACAGCTTTTAGAATGAAGACCCAAAGACTCGTTTTCTTCTGACTGTAGGTGCCTTGGATCTAACCCAAGACTTACAGAATTGCTGTCACTGTCCTACTTCTGAACTATACTCCTAGCCTGAGAAAGCTGTTTTCCTGCCTAAATTTGATGAAGCATGACTATAGAAAAAATTTGATAAGCTCTAGAGGACTGATGGGAACATTACCCAACAAGAAAGTGGAGGACACCTCACATAGTAATAGGGAATTAGTGGGGAATTGTTAGCAAACCGTGTGACAGATGTTCTTTCATTTTGGAACAGGTCATTCAGATTCTAGGAGATAAGTTTCCATGCACTTTGGTGGCACAGAAAATTGACCGTATGTTTCTGTTTTAATTTTTTAAAAGTAGTTTGATTTAACTGTCTTGCTGTGTCCTGACTCTGTACATCTGTATATCTTTCCACTGACCAGTGCCTGAGTATCAGGGAGAGCCGGATGAAATTTCCATACAGAAGTGTCGGGAGGCCGCTCGCCAGGTACTTAACCATTGTGGTCCCCCAGTCAGTCTTCTTGTGGGCTTCCAGGGCCTGTGCCTTGTGGGAACAGGCGGAGTATAAAATAGTTTGTTGGGACACTGCCTCTTGTATTCCAACGCTTGCCTCTCTGATTCTTTTTTTTTTTTTTTAATTTATTTATTATGTACACAGAAGAGGGTGCCAGATCTCATTACAGATGGTTGTGAGCCACCACGTGGGTGCTGGGAATTGAACTCAGGACCTCTGGAAGAGCAGTCGGTGCTCTTAACCTCTTAGCCATCTCTCCAGCCCCGCTTCTCTGATTCTTAGTTCTATACATTCAGCCATACATGTTCCCTATACAGATCTACCCCACCCCAACCCTGTACTCACACAGTTTACAGAACTGGGAAGGAACACATGGAATCCGGCTTCCAGCTGATTTCTATACTCTCAGTTTACAGAACTGGGAAGGAACACATGGAATCCGGCTTCCAGCTGATTTCCAGCACTTCATTGCTCTGAGCTGAGCCAGTGCTCTGACGTCCACATTTCTAAGCTGAAGACAAAGAGCTGAGTTGTGTGGCTCTTGATGGATCTATACCCACAGCTCTCGCCCTCTGCTTGTTGTGGTCTAGGCCCCAGCCTGAGCAGACGCAGGGTTGGGAATGAAGCCTACCTCTGATAGAGTCTCAGGGTTGTATGTTTGTGTTACAGGTGCAGGGTCCTGTACTGGTGGAGGATACCTGTCTGTGCTTTAATGCCCTCGGCGGGCTCCCTGGCCCCTACATGTGAGTACTCTACTACACCTCCACCCCGCAGGGCCCCATCCACAAAACTACCGGAATAGTAAAATGATTAGTTATATGACGTTATGGGTCATTCACTATCTTGGCATCAATACCAAGGAAGGATTACAACTATCAAAGGTAGGACTGAAGATGGCTCAGTAGTGAAGAGTGCTTGCTGCTTTTCCACTGACCCAGGTTTGATTCTCAGCACCTAAATCAGGCAGCTTACAACTGCCTGTAACTTCAGCTTCATAGACTCTGATGCCTCTTGCCTTTGTGGGTACCTGCACTCACATACACACACCACACACACACATACACATGATTAAAAATAACAAATCTTTTTTTTTTTTTTTTTTTGTTTTTGTTTTTGTTTTTCGAGACAAGGTTTCTCTGTGTAGCTTTGCGCCTTTCCTGGGACTCACTTGGTAGTCCAGGCTGGCCTCGAACTCACAGAGATCCGCCTGGCTCTGCCTCCCGAGTGCTGGGATTAAAGGCATGCGCCACCACCGCCCGGCAAAAATAACAAATCTTAAGAACAAGAAAAGAAAGAGCTGGGCATAGAGGCACACGCCTTTAATCCCAGCACCTAGGAGGCAGAGACAGGCAGCTCTCTATGAGTTTGAGGCCAGCCTGGTTCACTTAGTGAGTTCCAAGCCAGCTGGAGCTATATAGTGAGACCCTGTGTCAAATAATTTAGGGGGCTGGAGAAAGGACTCAACCCTTAAGAGTGCTTGTTGCTCAGTCATGAGGACTGGAATTTACATGCCAGCATCCACATTCAACTTAGAGCTCCAAGGGATCCAAGAGGTACCTGTACATACGTTGTGCATATACATTCACATAGATATGTGTGCACATACACATAAATAAATCTTAAAAAAGAGGGGCTAGAGAGATGGCTTAGCTGTTAAGAGCACTAGCTGCTCTTGAAGAGGACCTGGGTTCAATTTCCATCACCCACATGGTATCTCACAACCTTCTGAAGCTACCTTTCCAAGTAGCCTGACCTCTTCTGCCCTCTGCAGGCACCAGGCACACATGTGGTGCATATACATGTATGTGGGCAAAACACTGATATATGTAAAATAATCCTGGTCAAAGCACAACAGGTGGGTGAGGATGTAGTGCACTTGTTAGAGTGTTTGCCTTTATTGTGTAATAAAGCCCCGCGTTCAACCCTGTCCCTGCGTGCACCAGGTGAGCAGGCATGGTATAGTGCACGCTCACAATTCCAGCTCTTGCAAGATGGGAGACAGAAGGAGCGAAAGTTCTGGGTCATCCTTGGCTACATAAGGAGTTCCTTATGTAGCAGGAAGGGGTAGCCTTCCCGCTACAGCCTCGGTATTTGCCTCGTCCCCACTGGGGTGCTTGCCTTCCTTTGCATACCGAGCCTTGTGTCTGCTGCCTGTTTAGCTCCATTTCCTCCTGTTAGACCCCTCTTTCTCTTTCTCTTCCCTTTCCTTCTGCCTCCCTTGCTCTCCCCTCTTCTCTTTCTCTCTGCTGCTGAGCTGTACTCCCAGCCTTTGGGTTGTTGTCTTAATTTTGACTTGAGACGTTCTTTTTCATTTCTCTGGCATTTGGGAGCTCTGGTCCCTATGGGTGTAGGCCAGAGCAGGTGATAGGAAGGTAAGTCTGCTCTTGTTCTTGGTACTGACTCTCCTTTCCTTCTTTTGCAGAAAATGGTTCCTAGAGAAGCTAAAGCCTGAAGGTATGTGTCCCTGTTGTCTCTTCCCATGGGCCTTTTGGAATTGAGCCTGGGAGGAGTCCCCACTTAGTCATGGCTGCCCTAGGCCGTCGGCCTCCACTTTCATCTCCGTTGGCGCACTGGTTAACAGCTTTCCCTGTGGTCCAGAAGGCACTGTGGTGGAGAGCTGGGGATCGGTAATGAAAGCTTTGAATCTGAGGGACCAAGGGGTTAGTTGATTCTGTTGTCAAGGGGTTTGACCTTAATGACTGTAGTTCTTTGCTTCAGCCATGGGGCCATAGTTGATTCTGGTTGTCAAGGGGTTTGACCTTTATGACTGTTTGTAGTTCTTTGCTTTAGCCATTGCCTAGCCTGGTCTTCAGGGAGGGAGCTACCTCTTCTAGGTCCAGGAATCTATCTTTTCACTCAGGAGTGTGTGCCAGAATGTTCCCTCTTTAGGTTTTGGGGTTTTATTTGTTGTTGTTTTGTTTGTTCTTCAAGACAGCGTTTCTCTGTGGAGCCTTGGCTATTCTAGAACTCAGTCTGTAGACCAGGCTGGCCTTGAAATCATAGATCTGTCTGCCTCTGCCTCCCAAGTGCTGGGGTTAAAGGTGTGAACCACCACCACCTGGACCTCTTTTGTTTTTTGTTTTTTTTTTTAAAAAAAGCACTTGAAACCAGGCACAGTAGTGTATTCCTGTAATCTCAGCACAGGAGGCTGAGGCAGGAGGATCCCGAGTTCAAGACCAGCCTCGGCCACACACAAGACCCTGTCTCAAAAAAACTAAATGGTCTGGAGAGATGGCTCGGCAGTTAAGTGTGCTTGTTGCCCTTTCAGAGGTCCCAAGTTTGGTTCTCAGCATCTACAAGGCTGCTTACAGCTGTCCATAACTATAGTTCTAGAGGATCTGGCATCTTCTGGCCTCCGTGGGCACTAGTGCACATGCATGTGGCCAAAACACTTATATATGTAAAAATAAGTAGATCCTTAAACACAAAAGCCATTTTACTTTTTGGAGCAATCTTGTGTCAGCAAAGTATATAGGTACATGCCTGTGATCCCAGCACTAGGGAGGCTGTGGAGTCCAGCCTGGGCTACAAAGCAGGATTCTGAATTAAAATGGTAGTCTAGGCCTCTAATCCTGAGAGCTGTAAACAGAAGGATCAGAAGTTCATCCTCAGCTGTATAGTCAGTTAAAGGCTAGCCTGGACTACCTGAGATCCTGGGAGTGTATCACAGTTAGTAGAATGTTTGCCTGGCGTACATAAAGTTCTGGATTCAGTCCCTAGGGCCACATAAACCAAGTGTGGTGGTGCATATCTGCAATCCCAGCATTCACTGGGTGGAGGCAGAAGGAGCTTATGTTCCAGTACAGCCTGGGTTACAAAGTGAGGTCTAGGCCAAGCTGGGCTACATGACACTTTGATCTCAACAAAGAACCTTGTTTTAGTTTGTGTCAGAACCCAAAGAGAGGCTTCAGGTCCCTCTTGGGGACTAGAATGCAGCCCTTGCAGCCTCTCACTCCAACATAATCCAATCTGGAGAATCCTTCCACACCCTTGGGCTTCTGGAGTAGGGTGGGGACTGGACAGCGTAGATTCACTGAACCCTCTCTAAATCTTTCTGCAGGTCTCCACCAGCTCCTGGCCGGCTTTGAGGACAAATCAGCCTACGCACTGTGCACATTTGCTCTCAGCACTGGGGACCCAAGCCAGCCAGTCCTCCTGTTCAGGGGCCAGACCTCGGTACGTACCCACCCGAACAATTCTGCAGGTCACCAGAGGACTCTGTGGCTTAAATAAATGGCTGCAATATGCTGAGGAATGAAAGAAGATGGTAGAGGTAGCGGGAGCTTTGGGGCACTCTGCTTGCTGGGAGATACCGCAATTAGGAAAAGGCCAGTCCCCAAACCTATGTGACCCTAGCCTTACACACGCGGATCTTGCCAGAGTAGGTCCTGGTAAGATGCAGGTGCACAAACTAAAGGGAACTACTGTCCTCAAAGCCAGAGCTACAGGCCAGCTTGCTGAGATGGCCTTGTTCCTCTGCCAGGACAGAGTCTCCTCCCCACTCAGGGTTTTGAGAAAGTCTCATTTATCCCAGGTTGGCCTTGAACTTGCTGTGTGGCCAGGATGGACCTTGAACTTCAGATCCTACTGCCTCTATCTCCAAGTGGGCATTGTAGTCCTGTGTCAGCATACCCACTCTGCAGTGGACCCCCACCCCTTGTTGTTTTGTTTTTGTTTTCTTTGAGACCAGGTCTCTATTATGTAGCTATCAATATCCTGGAACTCACTATGTAGATCAGGATAGCCTCAAAACTCACAGAGACCCACCTCTGCCTCCCAAGTAGTCGTATGCCACCACACCTGGCCTACAGCTTCTCGTGGTTGTCTTCCAGCCTTTCTGAATTTTCTTGTTCACCCAAAATTGTAATGTTTGTTTTGTGGTGGTGGGATGGAAGTCAGAACTTTTACGTGCTGTGCAAGTGTTCTACCATGGAACTACTTCTCCATCTCAGAATTTCAGTTCTTCATTTCTCTGCCAGTGGCTCTTCAGCACCTCCTGAAGTTGCCTGTCAGACCTGAGGTGTAGTTGCTTTTCTGAGCATCCACCAGACCACCCTTAAAGCTGATCAGGATAGTCTGCCTTCTAGCATACACTGTCCCTCCAGCCGAGATAAAACCTAGTTCCCCAGATTGACTGTATATAGATGCTTTGTGTTATTTTGTTCAGTTAACTGTTTTGGATAATAGTAAAACAAAAACAAAACACAGACACAACATAAAGCCATCTTTTTTCTTTTCTTTTTTTTTTTAATTGTGTGTATGTGTGTATGTCTGCATGTGGGTATGTGCACATGAATACAGGTGTCCAAGGAGGCTGGAAGCATCAGATCCCCTGGAGCTGGAGTTACAGATGATGTGAGCTGTCAGATGTGGGTGCTGGGAACTGAGCTCTGGTCTTTGGAAGAGCAGCAAGTGCTCTTAACCACTGAGTCATCTCTCCAGCCCCACAATGCATCTTAACTGTCGTTCAGTGTACTGTTAAGTGTATTTGCGTTTACAAGGACTACAGAGATTTTTGTCCTTTAAGTCTGAAACCACCCATTTTAACAAGCCGCTTCTTCACTCAGATGCTACCGTTTTACTTCACACTTCTAAGAGTGTGACTACTTTACTGTTTTTATTTTTTATTTTATGTGTGTATGGATATCTTGTCTGCCTGTATATTTGTTCACAGCATGTAACATGGTGCCCATCAAAGCCAGGGACAGCATCGGATCCCTTGGAACTGCCGTGTGTGTGTGTGTGTGTGTGTGTGTGTGTGTGTGTGTGTGCGCGCGCGCGCGCTGGAAATTGAACCCAGGTTCTCGGCAAAAGCAGCCAGTTTTTTTTTTTTGTTGTTTTGTTTTTGAGACAGGGTTTCTCTATGTAGCCCTGACTGTCCTGGAACTTTCTGTAGACCAGGCTGGCCTTGAACTCATAGAGTTTCGCCTGCCTCTGCCTCCCGAGTGCTGGAATTAGAGGTGTGCACCACTGTCTGGCCTCCCCCCTTAGTTTTTTGTTTTTGTTTATTTTTGAGACCGGGTCTCACTGTGTGGCCCTGGCTGGCCTGCCTCAGCCTCCTGAGTACCAGGATTCTCAGGTGCTCACCACCACACCCCGACTTCAGTGTTTGCTTTTTGTGTGACTGATTTAGTTCACTTAGCAAGACATTCTCAAGGTTTGCCTGTGTTGTAGCACAGCAGAGTTTTGAGAGTTTTAAAGGCTGAACATTTTGTTTTATATACTCTATTCTCTTTTTCTTTCTTGTTTTTTCTTTCGGTTTTGAGTTAGGTTGGCCTCTAACTTACTGTGTAGTTGAGGATATCTTTGAGTTCTGATCCCTTGCCTTCTCTTGCCAAGAGCTGGGAGTACATGTCCCTCCCCTGTTCTACATTTTCTTCATTAGTTTCTCTGTTGACAACCTTCAGGATCTTGTGAATAATACTGCTGTGACCCAGGAGTGCGGAGGAGTCAAGAGCCTGTTTTCAGCTCTTTTGGTTACACATGTAGTGAGTGGTAGGAGGCCGGTTTGTTTCACAGCCCAGTTAGATTGTTCGCAGTGAGTTGTGCTGCCTGTGGCTTTCCCAGAAGTCTCCAGTTGGCCACTTCCTGCAGTGACTAAGTAGCAGCTGCCTTAGACCGGCTGGTACTGCCGTCCCTCCCTCTCTGGTCCTGCTGACCAGCTCCCGGTCTCCTTGAGGTGGTCTCGTTTCTCCATCCTGTTCTGTTCTCCGGGTGGGCTCGTTGTCTTTGGTGTGCTTGTTACACACTGTCAGGTGGCATGGGAACAGCATTGTCCTTGTAGTAGCCATTTGCCTTAAGACATCCGTTGTAGGAGGAGGAGTCTGGGTTTGCTGGGACCTCAGGCTGAGAGTGTGGACGGCTGTAGTGAGGCTCCGAGTCCTTCAGTCGTTGGCTTTGGTCACATAGCTCCCCACTAGCAGAAGCATAATTTCCCTTTGGCACTGTGTAACTTGGCGTTTATTTCTGTGTTTAACCTACATTATTTATAACCGTCCTTGTCACTGTCCTGTGCCTTCTTCTCCCCCAACATACCAGGTGCTAGCATGTGGAGCCAGTTCCTCTACACACTAGGCAGGCACTCTATCCCTGGCCTCTATTCCCAGCTCCTCCTTTTTTGTTGGTTTTTGTCTTGAAACAGGGTCTTGCTGTTGCCTGTGCTGGTCACAAACTCACCATGTAGCCCAGATTGGCTTTGAATTTGGAGTACTCTGTCTCAGCCTGGGAGCTGGGATTACAGGAGTGTGCCTGGGATTACACCTGCTTTAGTGTGTCTGGCTTTGTCTGGAGTGTAGTGGTGGTGTACTGCCCGGGTCTCCTGCTAACCTAGCTCTCCCCTTGAGCTTCATCCCTGATCCAGAGCAGACCTGGTATTGATAACATGGCATTTCATGACACTGCTTGTCATCGTTGTGACATTTTCACGGTTGTATGTGTGCCCTTCCCCCTTTCTTTTCATCAGGCTCACTGTGTAGCCCTGGCTGGCCTGGAACTTACTATGTAGACCAGGCTGGCCTTGAATTCACAGAGATCTGCCTGCGCCTGCCTCCTAAATGTTGGGGTTAAAGGTATGTGCCACCTTGCCCTGCTAAGCTAGTTGCTCAGACCATTCTCAACCTTATAGCTGAGGATGACCTTGAACGTCTAGTCTCTACCTCCAAGTGCCTTATGCATACTGGGGAGCACAGCAGTACCTAGCCATGGCCTCAGTTCTGCCCTCTATTGTAAGAAATACCATGAACAGGGCTGGAGAGATGGCTCAGAGGTTAAGAGCACTGCTTGTTCTTCCAGGGGTCCTGAGTTCAATCCCCAGCAACTACATGGTGGCTCACAACCATCTGTGATGAGATCTGGTGCCCTCTTCTGGCCTGCAGAGATATGTGCAGACAGAACACTGTATACATAATAAATAAATCTTTAAAAAAAAAAAAGAAAAAGAAATACCATGAACAGTTCAGGACCCTTACCTTCCTATCAGGAGCAAATTTTCTAAAATTTTTATTTATTATTAGTGTGTATGTGTGTGTGTGTTGCATGCATTGTATGCATATCATGTTGCATGTGTGGAGGTCAGAGGTTGCCTTTTAGGAGTTGGCTCTCGTAGCTACCTTGGGATCTAGGGAGTGAAATCAAGTAGTCAGTGCAACAAGCACTTACCTACCTGCTGAGCCACCTTTCCAGCCCCATGTTTTCTGTCACATTTTCAAAGCTGGCCCAGCTTTTCTTCGGTGAGGTTACGGTTTATCAGAACTACAGAAAGAAGGTCATCGCAGTGGTATCGGTAGGCTAGTCAAATGCAAAGTTCCTCCTCCCAAGCCTGCTCTGTGTCCTTTGCTGTGTATCTGTGTGCACATGCATGAACGTGTGGAGGCCAGGGTACAACCTCAGGGTGCTGTCCGTCTTGTGGTATTGGTTTTTTGTTTGTTTACGAGTTCTCACTGTGTAGACTGAGCTAACCTTGAACTCATAGAGAGCCACCTGCCTCTGCCTCTTGAGTCCATCTTGGTTGTTTGGTTTCTCAAGACAGGGTTTCTCTGTGTAGCCCTGGCTGTCTTTGACTCACTCTGTGGTACAGGCTGGCCTCGAACTCACAAGAATCAGTCTGCCTCTACCTCCCAAGTGCTGGGATTAAAGGTGTGCACCACCAGCCGGGCGGTGGTGGCGCACGCCTTTAATCCCAGCACTCGGGAGGCAGAGCCAGGCGGATCTCTGTGAGTTCGAGGCCAGCCTGGGCTACCAAGTGAGTTCCAGGAAAGGCGCAAAGCTACACAGAGAAACCCTGTCTCGAAAAACCAAAAAAAAAAAAAAAAAAAAGGTGTGCACCACCATGCCTGGCCCATCTTGTTTTTTGAAACAGTCTCCACTGGCCTGACTTGCTAAGTAGACTAGGTTGTTTACCTTCCCCTGGGTTACAGGCGCTACACCACTCTACATGGCTTATTTAAAGTTGGTTTTTGTTTTTGTTTTTGTTTTAATGTCGGTTCTGGGAATTGAACTCAGGTCCTCATAATTATAAGACAAGAGACTCACCAGCTGAGCCATCTCCCTAGCCTCCTGGTTTTTTTAAGACAGAATCTTGCTATGTAGCCCTGACTGGCCTGGTAACGGAGCAGTCCTCCTGCCTCAGCCTCCTTAGTGTGCCCATTACAGGCTGTCCCACCCTACCCAGCTATTGCTCTAACCTTACTTACTGAGGTGCCAACAGAAGTTTATAGGAACTGTGGGTCCTTTGTACTGTTAAACATTTTGAGTAATTCAGGTTTAGTCAGATTCGCAACTAAACAAACTCACTCTGGTCCAGTACATCTCCAGTTACACACCTGCCCTCCCTGTTACACACCTGCCCTCCCCGTTACACACCTGCCCTCCCTGTTACACACCTGCCCTCCCTGTTACACACCTGCCCTCCCCGTTACACACCTGCCCTCCCTGTTACACACCTGCCCTCCCTGTTACAGGGCCAGATCGTGAAGCCACGAGGCTGCCGGGACTTTGGCTGGGACCCCTGCTTTCAGCCTGATGGATATGAGCAAACGTAAGGAGCCCAAACTTCCTCCCTGGAGCGTGGGCTTGGGTGGGCACCCTGCCCATGTGCAGTCATGCGGATATGGTAAGGCAAGCTTTGTTCCAGCTGAAGCCATTTCCGCTGAATGGACACAAGGAATCCAGGTGGCCTAGTCCATGGCAGGGCAACACAGATATCCTAGGTCGTGCTCCTAGCTCACTTGGCCGTCTTATGGCCAGTGGCTCCCATCCTCTGGCCCTGCCTATCAAGATGCATAAACCTTGTGGTTTTGTGGGCTGACACTAGCTCCATCTGGGCTGGAAAATGCATACTTTTGTAGCTGCTGTTAGACATGAGAAACCCACACAGTAGTATATGTTCTTAGCACTTCACATTGACAGCACCCTTTTATTTGTGAATATTTGTACATTGTCATTGCTGGATCAGGCTTTCCAGACTGTAGCTCCCCTGCCCAGCACCTCACAGGCCTGAAGCAGCCCTGGTCAGCCCGTCCTTGGGTGTCAGGAGTGTCCTCTGATGTGCTGTCTGCTTGGGCGGTCACAGAGCACTTGGAATTTAGTTAGATGAGGAGCTGAGTTTATTTTTGTTCTGTTTATTTATTTTGTGTTAATGGGTGCTTTGCCTGTATGCCTATCTGTACACCAGATAACTATACTGGCCAGAGGTCAGAAGAGTCTGTCGGGTTCAAGGGACTAAGCCATCTCTCCAGCCCCATTTGTATTCGGTTGTAATTAACTTAGCCACACGTAGCTAGTTCTGAAGCCTAAAGGCAGGGTGTGACCTCTCACCTGTCTAGTAGTGTCCTCACACTGACAAAATTGGCCCCTGGCCAGCTGCCTGGCTCTGCAGCCCACAGTGCTGTTTGATCTGTCAGACTCCATTGCTTCCACCAGACACCTCTACCTCATTCTTGTCCACACTTCCCTTAAGAACTTACGGACACACTAGAGCGATTTCAGCTTCTCTCCAAGCCCATGACTGGGCGTTTCTATCTTACAGAGGAATTTAAAACTGTTTGGTCTACCAGGCTGAGGACCAGGTGGCCCATTGCCTGCTTTCCTGGCTCTCTCATTGTGGAAGGTCATTTGCTTGGGCTCAGACATGGAGTACTGGGGGCCTGACTGCCCCTTGCCTGTGCACAGGCTCTCAGTATGTTTTTTACCTACAGGGACCCCCTCCCCTGCAAACAGAATCATTGGGCTTGGGGCTCCAGGGTGGCAATGGGGTGCCCAGCCTCCTGATTTCTGGATTCTCTGTTTTCTGAACTGCTTCTCTTTCCTCTTAGGTATGCAGAGATGCCAAAGGCTGAGAAGAACACCATTTCTCATCGATTCCGGGCCTTGTTCAAGCTGCAAGAGTACTTTAGTGTGACTGCTGGGGCTGGTGGCCACTAGGGTCGTGGGTGTGGGGAGGATAGTGCAGAACTCCCCAGGAGGCAGGCACTCCTGGCTAGTGTTTCTCTGGGTTGCGCTTTACCAGGGCATCCAGGCACATCAGCAGCCAGGTCCGGAAGGGCAGTTTGCTTTGCACAGGGGAGCTCTGGGCCAGTTGATACTAAACTCTGGCCCTTTGGGATTCAAGAGTTGCCTGTGGCCTGGCATAGTGGTGCACACCTTTAGTCCCAGAATTTGAGAGGCAGAGGCAGACAGATCTCTGTGAGTTCAAGGCCAGCCTGGTTTACATAGTGAGTTCCGGGACAGCCAGAGCTGCATAGTGAGATGCTGTCTCAAAAACAAAACAAACAATAAAGCAGAGTTGCTCTTGCAGCCTCTGGGATCCTGAGAGAACTTTGGGTGTCACACCTCTTAGCTTGAGGGTTGGCAAAGAAACATACAGCCTTTGATTTTAGAATGCAGCAAATGTAAATTCTTGAAGGCATGTTTCCAAAATAAATGGTATATTTGTTTTGAGCCTTGTCTGTCTCTTGAGTTCCTTTGACAGGTGGGAAGCCATCTTGATGGATGGTCAGAGGGGTAGTTCTGTACAGAGGATGCTCACCTGCCTGGATAGCTGGCATACTACTCCTCTCCTTGAGTTCTTGTTCTTGTGAATCGTGGGCTGTCCTCTTGTCTATGTCAAGGTCATGCTGGGGATAGGGGCTAGGAGGCAGCAGAGTGTATGTTTTGCCATTATAGGTTGACAGATGACCTGAGTTCAATCCCAGAGCCATGTGTGGAGAGAACTGACTCTCACAGGTTGTTCTCTGACCTCTATGTATGCCATAGAGTGAACCTTGCCTCCACATACACAGATAAGTGCTAAAGGTCCTCTGTCCTCAGAAGCCTGACAGGAATCCTGTTTAAGCTGCCTTGTTCCATCATGTGCATCCCCTCTCCCCAAGACATTCCCTGGGAGACACTTGAGGGTCAGTGCCTGCCTTGCAGTTCCTGAAGTTGTTTCTTGAGGAAGGGTATGTTCAGGGACATGAGAGGAGAAAGCAGGTTTCTGTGTCCCGGGCACTTCTGGGGGTATTCTCTCTAGTTTTTGGCCCCCAGACTCGGCAAGGTGGCCTGGGGTTCAGCCATTATGATAAAGGCATTTCTCCTGACCCCAGGCAGGGCATGTGGGTGAGTAGAGGACACCATTCTTCCCCACCTGTCCCGCTTGCCTGTCCCAGCACACTGGCTCCAACATGGAGTACTGGGGGCCTCTCTGCCCCTTGCCTATGTTCTGGATGTGGCTTTCTCTTCAGGGAATGCCCAAGCTACTGAGGAAGTCGCCCCTCCCGACTTGAGTTGCAGATTGGATGGATAGGTGGGTGTAAGGGCAACCTGGTGTTTGCTGCACAGCTCCTTCCTGAATCTCCCCCATTTTATTTGACCCATCCCTGTAAACAGCTGTGGAGAACATACTGTACCCGACAGACACACACACACACACACACACAAGCAAAATTACACCTCGGTCTACCCCTGCAACTATGGTGTTGCCGCGCTCTCCCTAGCATGCCAGCCTGTTGACTCGCCAGGTCAAGTCCAAGGTGGGATTCCTTTTGTCTCCCATTTCCAGTTTTTTTCCCTTTTCAATATGGTGGGCAAACACGGGGCCTCCAGCATGCGAGGCCTTCTGCAGAGCCGCAAGCCCGGCTCTGCCGAGAGGTCTGAATCTCTTGCCGTTCCTCGTATACCTTTCCTCCTCTTGCTGGTGTGCTGGACCTGCGTGTCTTAGTATGGAGGGGTCTTCTGTTTTCTCTGGGGTGTCACCCGGCATTAGCTTTTGTATTTATTTTGTGGTGCTGGGAACCAAACCCGGGGCCTTGCACAAGTCAGATAGCTAACACTCAGCCCTGGTTTGTCCACAGTTGGGGCAGTGCCCTCTCTCAGAGGTGACAACACAAAGATGGGTACTTGGGGGGACAGAATGACAGCAGACTTTAAAGTGCATCACCCAGAGTTAGCTCCCCACTTCCTCATTTTGAGACGTCAGTTCAGGACTTCACACCATCACTCTGTCCATTCTCTCTAGAAAGGGTGTGTTACACAGAGATAACACAACTCACTGACAGGCATATGAGTGCACCCGAAGGAGCCACCATGGAGGTGTCAAGGCCAGGTGTTGCTGTGGGATTTGTGGGAGGGAACTGTATGGCTGGGTCAGGCACAGTGATGCCTGCCAAGGTGACTGGGAGAGATATGCAATCACCTGTGTCTGAAAATGCTAACGAGCACACAAAAGGTCAAACTAGACGCTCCTAAGAGCCATAGGAGGTTAACTGAGAACCCCAGTGCTAGGAGTAGGTTACCTCCCACAGAAGCCCTTGAGGCCCCTAAAACAAAAAAGGTTTTTGCCACAGTTGCTGGTTGCCTTCCAGAACTTAATGACAAGACCCAGTTGCTGGAGAAATAAAGCTAGGACTGGGCTAAAGTGTCCCCTCCCTGAGAGCTAGATCCCGTAGTGCTGGAAGTTTCTGCTGAGGATGCTGAGGAGAATTAAGCCTCAGTCCTGCTCAGCTGTGGATCCTGCATGCTTCGTGATGGAAGTGCCAGGCAAGATGCGCTGGTGCATGGAGTGCACGAGGATGGAACCAGCTTTCTGATTGGACTGGAGGCCCGCTTCACAGGGAGGAAATTCACATCTGGATAGAACCAGCTTTCTGATTGGACTGGAGGCCCGCTTCACAGGGAGGAAATTCACATCTGGATAGAACCAGCTTTCTGATTGGACTGGAGGCCCGCTTCACAGGGAGGAAATTCACATCCGGCACAGGCAACCGTGACTAGGGAAGTCCTAGGCTCCCGTGGAGAGCACGTGCTCTCGACTGGAAAGGTGCTGGCCCATGAGTTTCCTACCACCATTTGGACAGTCTTCTGTTCCTGCTTTTGTCAAGACTTGCCAACAGCTGTGTTCCAGAGACAGAGGAATGACCGAAGGGCACAAGGGTTCGGTACTTTGGAGAATAGTCAGGCATCTCTGTCATACCCCCAGCACTGCCCCAGGCTCAGGGACTCTCGAAGAAGGAATGTAAGGGCTGGAGGAAGACGTGGCGAGTACTCTGTGACTGTCCTCCAGGCCCAACAACTGCTAAGAGAGATCAGTTCACCACTTGGAAAAGATCATCCCAGCTGGGCTTGTTGACTGTTAACAGCCTCCCAGAGAGGTGCAGGGATCTGGAGACCCTCACCCGAGTATCCAGCACCCTCTACCACTCATACCCAACTTCACCCTAAGACGTAGCCTGGGCTAGGGGTGGAGTATACGCAGGAGGGACTAGTGGAGAGAGGCTCCATCGGTGACTCTGGGAAAGTCATCATCCCTGCTAGGTAAAGACTTCCCATATGGCCTTTGAGGGGGAGCACCCCACTCTAAGTAACCCCTCACCTAGTCTCTGTAAGGAAGAACAATAAACTGTCGTTGGGACCTTAGGGAAAGGGGTAGGAGTGGCTTAGTCTCCCCCGGGAAGGAATTTTAGCAACAATGCCAAGTGATTAAGCTGGAAGTATGGCATCTTCTTCCTCCATCAGACTAATCAGCCCGTCGCCCAGTTCTCTCCAAATCACACACTGGCACGTACAGGGCGCCCTGTCCTCGCCCCTAGCCATATCCTGAAGCCACTCTGTTCACCACACCGCACCCTGCTGTACCCAAACCCTGTCTCCTCTGGGTCTTTGTTCCCAGAAAACATCCCTTGCAGGAGCCTCTCAACAGGATGACACAAAAGTCTACTTTGTCTGCGTCTCACAGTTGGGCTGGTGGAGATGACGGCATATAGATGGTACTCAACAAACATCGGCCTTTTATTCTCCTCCCAGGGGGCGTGTTTTCTGTCCCCAAGTCTGGGAGAGCAGCAAAGATGGAGGTAGCATGTTGGAGCACAGAAACAAGACTTTGATTGCATAGAAACAAGACTTTTATTCACTAATGTGCACACAGCAAGTTCCTTATACAATCAAGGAAATGGGCTCTCTCCTGGGCATCAACTCTTTTATCAAAAGAAAATCTACTTTTCTTAGCTCCACCCTGGCAATGTCCCTGACCCTAAACTAAAGGTTAATGGGGTGAGCACACACCACTGGAAACCACAATGCCCCGGGGCTTTAGGCCACAATGAGGACGGGCCAGAGCCACAGGCGGCTCACACCTCCCCTTGCACTGCCACAGAGCAGGCCTGAAAGGATGGGGAAGGTGGCCCTGGTCAGGGTCTGTGCTCAGCATCCATGACATCCAAGTACTTGGCTTCAATGATTCGGGGTAGCAGATTGTAACTGCAGAACAGAGGGAGAGGCAAACTGAGTGGTAGATGGTCATAGCAGGTACCCACTGAGCCCAGCAGCGGGCTGCACCCTCCTGACAGCCACCCAGCCTGGTCATACCGGATCGGAATCATGGCAATCATGATGAGAGGGAAGACCATCTTCATGTAGGGCAGGGAGCTCATGCCGAAGGCACAGAGCAGCAGCAGCTGCAGAATCTGCAGGCCTGTGAAGTAGTGGATCTTCCTTTGGGGCACTCTCCGGACGTAGTGTGTGGGTGGGTATGATGTCTGTGGGCAGCAGCAACCAGGAAGTCAGGGGTGGCTGTGTTCCCACACCCTCTCCCGGGCCCTGGCACCTACCTGCTCCTTGAGCAGCAGGGCCACACGAGAGAAGAGCTGGTTGCCATCCAGGGAGGTGAGCGCAATGTAGAGGAAGAGCCCATAGAGCACAGGCTTGGGGATCCACTGCAGGGGGAAGGGCAGCAGCAGCAGCGAGAGACCCACCAGGACACTGGCGCCCAGCGCGGTCAGCCGGGTCTCCTTAACATTCACTATCCTGCGGGGCCGGAGCACAGGGCTACGTGTGGGTCTAGCTAGGGCGCTACTGCCTCTGAGCCCTTATCTCTAAGCCACATCCTTTCCTACGTCACATGGAGCCCAAGGTTGTCCCCCTCTGACCTTCAGGTCTACCTGGCGCTTGCCCTAGGACCCCAGGGACCACTCATACTCACGTTTCATAAATGTGCCCATTTTCCACACGTTCCTCCACTAAGGCCAGTGCCCGCACATGCAGCGGGGAGTGGGGGTAGGCGGCGTGGATCCAGGGTAGCCCGAATAGAGACAGCCCCGTATTGATGATGGCGAGTAACAGGAGGTCCCAGTGATAGGCAGTGCCCTTCACCAGCCTGACAGAGACGGGCACACATGGACAGAGTCCTGTTGGCTGTCAGAAGTCCGGGACCCTGCCCCTCCTCCCACAGCCCCCAGTACCTGTTCTCTGGTGCATTGACCAGGGCAGCCACCAGGTTCTGCTCAATGAAGAAAAGCAAGGAGAGCAGGAAACCAAGACCCATGGCGCTGCTGATGGCCTTGAAGGACAGAGAGCGGATCTGTGCCATCTCAAAGAGGCTCTCGCTGGGGTTGTATCTGAACTTGCTCACTGCAATAGGGGACAGGCTTGGCCCACTGTTCCCAGGGAGCGAGGCCATGCCATGCCACCCCCAGCTCCTCCGCCCGTTCCAACTCACTCTCAATGTCCTGGAAGCCATAGGAACTGATGAGGGAGAAGGCGAGCACGGCGATGGGCAGGGCACAGTCAGACAGGGTCTCACGCACACATGGGTGCAGGTAGGGGCTGGAGACGATGGGTGCATCAGCGGGGCCGGGGGGGTGCTGGCTGGCCCGTGCCTCCCACCCGGGGGCCCCCTCGTTTCTTTTCAGGGGGTCCTGAGCTAGAGTCTGTATAACCTAGGCGGCTTCAAACTGGAGATCCTCCTGCCTCTGCCTCCCAAGTACTGGGATCCAAAGGTGCCCCCTTACCTTTTCTTGAACTGGTAGAGGGTGTAGCCTAGCCAGAGTGTGCCCAGCATGATGAGGAGGCTGAGGACTGCCGTGGCCTGGCCCGAGTGTGTGCTGCTGGGGCTGCTGGCTGTGGCCATCTCTATGGTGCTGTCCCAGAGGCTGGTGTTGGGCGCACTGTGGAGGCTGGTGTTGGGGCTTCTGCCAACGCCCAACAAGCTTGCCAAGGATGAAGTTCTTTTTGTGTGGTAGTGGTGACCATAGTAGTACTTCCAGAAGACTGTGGGACGAGCCAACAGGCCTAAGCCATCTGGGATCTGGGAGGTTGGAGCCTAGCTTCCTTATTGATATAGGGTGGAGGGGTGTCCTAAGGGAGGTGGGGATACTGAAGGGAAGGAAAGGGGCCATAATGGGAGAGAGCTTCTAAGGGGAAACAAGGGGAATAGGAGAGAGCTCTGGCCTTCTCAGTCAACCAGGAACCGCCTGTCCGTCCGTCCGTCCGTCCGTCTGTCTACCCTTTGTCTCCCAAGTCTGCTACTGCCTCTGCTGTAGCTGACACCGTGCCCTGCCTGGCCCAGTGCCTCTGTCCCCTCTCTGGCTTTGCCTGGAGAAGCTCTTCCCCTTCATCACCGCATGGTGCTGCTGCTGTGCCAGCCACAGCTCCTCCAGCACCTCTGCCACAGGAAGAACAGCCTTAGCTGGACACCTCCTCCTCTGCCCTGTCAAGCACAGTTGAGAGCCCTCCCACCCCAAGCAGGCCCCTCTCTGGGTCTGCACTCAGTTTTGTTTTGTTTTGTTTTTGAGATAGGGTCTCACGATACAGCCTTAGCTGTCCTCAAACTCAGAGATCCGCCTGCCTCTGCCTCCCGAGTGATAGGATTAAAGGTGTGTGCCGCCACACCTGACTTGTACTCACTTTTGACCATGCCCTTGACGGCATCCAGCACAAACGTGATGGAAATGAAGAGGGCAATGATTTCCTCTGTTGACCTGCAAAGAGGTGATATGCCTCAAGATGTGTGTGTGTGTGTGTGTGTGTGTGTGTGTGTGTGTGTGTGCATTGGGGGGCAGTATTTAAAGAAAAGGTTTCCCTGAGCTCTTGTATGGACCATCGCCATCAAAGAGTGCTCCCCCACTCTCAATAAGTCCACCTTGGCCTACGGAGAGCACACTATCTATTCTGGGGTTATAAGGCCTTGGCATGAGGCTGACCCACACCCCCAGACACTGCAGCCCAGGACTAGTCACCTCTTAAAGAGATTCATAAGCAGGCTGAGGTTGAGGAAGGCATAAAGCGCGAGGAAGAAACTGTTCCACAGGCCCGTCCATGCATAGAAGGAGTTGAAGTCCAGGTTGTAGTCATCGCAGATGACTCGGATCACTGCAGACAAGGGGCAGGATGTGCAGTCAGGGCTGGGATGGGCTCCAGGGCCTTGGCACCATCTCCCATTTCAACCCCACTGTACCCTGGATGTAGATGGCCAGGGGCGCGGTTGTCAGCAGTATTACCAGTGGCTGCCCAGAGAAGAGTGCATACAAGAGGCCTCCGATGCTCTGCCCAGCTATGGTCTTCTGCACATCTGTGGAGGTGGTAAGTTCAGGGGTCACCCCAGCCCAGGGTCCTGCCTGGCACATCCCTACTGCCCCCGAGCCCCTCACCGATGGCTCCGTTCGTGTTCTCATCATTGAGGGATCCAAAAGCAATCGTTGGCAGGAGGCAGGCAAAATAGAGGAAAAGCGTGGTGGTGACGTATTTGCCCACAGTCTTGCCTTTCCCGATGAGGCCTAGGAATGCAGGACAGACAGCATTTGCTGCAGACGCAGGACACGCGCACTGGCCTCATGGCCTGAAAGGCTGAGGTCTGGCTGGGCACCTACCATCGGTGAAGTCCAGTGGGTACACCGGGAACCTGTGCATGATGTCCACCCAGATGCCCTTTCCAAAAGGGAAAAAGTCCTTGCACTTGGGGGGCTGGGAGAAAGGGCAGAATGTGTTAGTTCTGGTTGACCCGCGCCCCTGCCACCACACCCCACCTCTATTCTGTACCTGATGGTGTTTGTGAGTATGGAGGGAGCTCATGCTGTGGCCCTTGGCTCTTGGCATCATGGTGAGCAGCTGTCTTTGGTGCACCAGAGCCTCCTTGAATTCCTCCTCTGTGCGGGTCTTGAGGAGCTTCTGGCGGAAGGTGATGTCCGAGAACATGGTGGCAAAGGTGCGTGCCACCTCCATCGCAGTCTTGGTGCTTTTCTGGGAACAGAAGGGGGTACGGTTACACCCCCAGCTCCGGTAGCAGGGGAAAGCCTGTCTTTGCCGAGTGCCATCACGCACAGGCAACCGGCAGCAGGTCCTGTTTCCCTAAGCTCAGACATGGATGCACCTTGCCACTATTCCTACTGGGAGCTGCTGTGGATCTCATGGTTTCCTTTTTCCTTTTTACCTTTTTTTTTTTTTTTTTTTTTTTTTTTTTTTTTTTTTAAAGATTTATTTATTTATTATGTACACAGAAGAGGGTACCAGATCTCATTACAGATGGTTGTAAGCCACCATATGGGTGCTGGGAATTGAACTCAGGACCTCAGGACCTCTGGAAGAACAGTCGGTGCTCTTAACCTCTGAGCCATCTCTCCAGCCCCTTTTTACCTTTTTTATTTGGTTTTTCCAGACAGGGTTTCTCTGTGCATAGCCCTGCCTGTCCTGGATCTCACTCTGTAGACCAGGCTGGCTTCAAACTCACAGAGATCCACCTGGCTCTGCCTCCCGAGTTCTGGGACCAAAGGTGTGCACCACTACTGCCTGGCTCCATTTTAACATTTTAAAATAATTTATTTATTCATATCTTATGTGCATTGGTGTTTTGCCTGCATGTATGCCTGTGTGGAGGTGTCAGATCCTCTGCAACTGGAGTTACAGACAGTTATAAGCTGCCATGTGGGTGCTGGAAGAGCAGTCAGTGCTCTTAACCACTGAACCATCTCTCCAGCTAGTGTTTTTCTTTCTTGTTTGTTTGTTTGAGATAAGGTCACATTCTGTAGACCAGGCTGGTCTAGAACTATGGCATTCTTCCTACCTCAGCTTCCCAAGTCTTGGGGTTACAGACCAGTCACCATGCCTGGCTTAGTATTTTTCTTCGAACTGAGACATTAACATTGTCCTGAGCAAGAAAAGGGTTTGAGCACAAACATGAAACCACATGGAGCAAAACTGCCAAGGGCCGTGGGTGTATACAGCAGGTGACAACTAGCGTTTGACAAGTCGACCCACCAGACATAAAACTCCCTGATGGGGAGCCCCACCTGGCAAAGTCGTGGGGTCACTGGCTGTGGAAACTGGTTGTTTTCTGTCTGTGACTTTCTCAGGTGCACCATTAGACCTCCCTATAAGAACGGCTGTGGGCTTCCTTCCACAGTCCATTGGCTGTGTGTTTTACATCTTTGGGCATACGTATAGCTGTGGATGATCAGGTTAGGAGTTCTGTGTAAGCTGTATTAATTCTGATGTATAGAAATAATACCAGGATATTCTTCTTCACTGACACAGGAAAGTAACACTATTCTCAGTCTCAAAGACAGCTAATTTTAGACTTCAGAACAAATTCAAAACAGACTAAACTGTCCTTGCAGAAAATACACAAAGACTAATTCCCAGGTTTTGTTTATTGCTAAAGCAAGGCCAGGCTGTTTACACTGAGATATAGCTCCCTGCAGCAGCTCTCTTTCTGCCATGGACCCCGACGGCTCAAGGTTCAGCCAATTGTTTACTGTCTGGGACCCCTCACCAACTTAGAGCTGCGTGCATGGGTCAGTGTGACATAACCAGCCTAAGAGAAGCTACGTGACTTATCTTGTGTATTGAGAATGGGTAGGGCCCTGAAAACGTAACTTACAATTGTCCAGAGTTTGGCTGTGGGAGAGCAGCGGTGGTGTGGAGAGATGGCTGTGTAGAACTGCTGCAGAATGTGAGTGAAGTGTGTGTGTGTGTGTGTGTGTGTGTGTGTGTGTGTGTGTGTGTGTGTGTATTGCTGAGTGAGAGATGAAGAAGAATCATGAGAGAAGTGTGAGGAAGTGAGTGGGGGAAAGAGTGAGTAAAGAGTGAGTGCATAATGTAAAAGAAGGCGTGTGAGTGAGTGTGAGAGAGAGCTGTGTGAAAGAGCTGCTGCTACACAGAGGAGCTGTGCCCGGGAACTGTAGAAAGCGCTGTATGGTGACAGAGCTGTGTAAATGAGATGTTTAGCTGTGGCTGGGTGGAGATTTGTAGCCGTGTGGAGACAAAGAAGATGAAGCTGTATAGAAAAGAGATGTAGAAGAGAAATGTATGTAAAAGAAAGATGTGTAGCCATGTGAAAAATACATACGTATGTAAAGATATGTAGCTGTGTGGAAAGAGTCAGAGACCATTCTTTTTTTTTTTGTTTTTCGAGACAGGGTTTCTCTGTGTAGCTTTGCGCCTTTCCTGGAACTCGCTTTGGAGACCAGGCTGGCCTCGAACTCACAGAGATCCGCCTGGCTCTGCCTCCCGAGTGCTGGGATTAAAGGCGTGCGCCACCACCGCCCGGCCAGAGACCATTCTTAAGTTGAAGTAAAAGAGAACGTTATCATCAGAAAGCGTGTGTTTCCTTATTTCCCCCTCAGATAGAAAAGGTCTAGCCCTCCGATACATAAGAAGTTTTCCTAAACCCTGGCTGCCTCCGTGGATTTTCTTGCATTACCCTGGAGGCGGCCTTGGAGCAGGCTCTCCATAAGGTTACCGATACAAAACACATTCCTGATGTCTGTTGGCTTGTCTGACGTTGAAAGGGGATCCAGGCCCATCACACCTTATTCTCTTACCTGACCATGGTCAAATGTTAGGAGTTAGATATGAAGTGTCCCCCTAAAGACAGTTGACCCCCAGCTGATGGGTCTAATCATGGGGAGGTAACTGGGTTCTGAGGGCTCCGACCTCATTGATGGATTCATGCACTGACATTAAAATTTCATGGCATTACTGAGAAGGGGTGGAAACGAGAATGTGGGCCTTGGTCTGAGGAAGCAGGTTGTTGGGAAGTGCTCCTTAGAAGAGGGAATCATTTCCCAGGACCTTTCCCCCACTTTTGGGGAGATGCTGGGGACCAAGCTCGGAGCCTCATGTATGCTCTGGCAGCCTGCTGCCGCTGAGCCGTAGACACAGTCTCTCCTCGTTCCCTCTGCCTTTTGGTTGCCATGAGGTCATCAGCTCTGTTCCCTCATCATAGCACTTCCCATCACGACATTCTGCTCTGCTCCAAAGCCGTGGAGCCGGCCGCGGACTGAAACCCTGAGCTGAAGTAGACCTTCTCTCCTTCAAGTCGTGTCTCTGAATTCTCAGACTCAGGGCAGCAGCCCAAGCTGCGCCTACTGGGTGTTCCTGAGCAGGAACTCCACGCTGGGTGCAGCCTGACTTGCCTCAAGTGATACGGGTACTAAGGCTATTGCCCCTTCCAGCTGTTCTGGCCACACTGCCGGCTGCCACTCCCTCTAACTCATGATGCGCAGCATATCTATAAGACTACTGGCAGGGAAGTAGTACCCAGAGAATCCGGAGAAGGTATCCCGCACCAGAGTCAGGCAGTTATCAAAAAGCTAACGAGCCGGGCGGTGGTGGCGCACGCCTTTAATCCCAGCACTCGGGAGGCAGAGCCAGGCGGATCTCTGTGAGTTCGAGGCCAGCCTGGGCTACCAAGTGAGTTCCAGGAAAGGCGCAAAGCTACACAGAGAAACCCTGTCTCGAAAAACCAAAAAAAAAAAAAAAAAAAAAAAAAAGCTAACGAAAAGGGATGTTGTGGAGAAGGCCTGTAAAACCAGCACTGGGAAGGCAGAAGGATACAGAGTTCAAGGCCAGCCACCAGTCTGTTTTAAAGAACTAAAGGAGGGTAGAGGTGTGGGTCAGTGATAGAGCACCTGCCCTCATGTGTACATGAGGGCCCTGGGGTCCATCCCCAGCCTTGGGGACAAACAGTGCAGTAGCTAATGAAAGCTTAAATATTAAGGCCCTTCCACAGCTTTGGGCAGAGAATTACAGTTCCCTATTCAGGATTTTAAACCTTTTGCCTTATTGAGAAAACTCCTAGACTGGACCAGCTACAGCTTCCATAAAAGCAGGGTATCCAGCCCGGGTGGTGGTGGTAGCGCACACCTTTAATCCCAGCACTCGGGAGGCAGAGGCAGACCTCCATGAGTTTGAGGCCAGGCTAGTCTACAGAGCAAGTTCCAGGAGAGCCAAGGTTACACAGAGAAACCCTGTCTCAAAAAACAAAACACACACACACACACACACACACACACACACACACACACACACACACAAAAAAAAAAAAAAAAAGAACAGCAAACAAACAAACAAAAAACCAAAAAGAGCGAGGTATCCTTGCCCAGGTAGCATAAGGCCCAAGGAGCGCAGCGGGTCCTTGTCCAGCAAATCATGAAGGAGGAATACCGGTGGGAAGGCAGCCAAAGAATGGCCCAACGCAGCCGGGCGGTGGTGGTGCACGCCTTTAATCCCAGCACTCGGGAGGCAGAGCCAGGCGGATCTCTGTGAGTTCGAGGCCAGCCTGGGCTACCGAGTGAGTTTCAGGAAAGGCGCAAAGCTACACAGAGGAAACCCTGTCTCAAAAAAACCAAAACCAAAACCAAAACCAACCAACCAAACAAACAAAAAATGGCCCAATGCACGTAGTCATTATATTGGGACTTGAATCCACAGCCTTGGACATGCTGAGTCCACGCCTTGCCACCACCAATCTACCCTGCCAGCCGCCTGAATTTGGCATTGTAAAAAAGCATTTCTTTTCAGTAAGAAAGCCAACTTTTTGAGCATTTCCAGGGAAATTTCAGATGCACAGGGACTTGGCAAAAGCATCTCTAATAAACATCGGATAGAGAGGAAGAGCAGGGATGAGAAGCCAGGAGAGATGTTTCCAAGGTAACGGCAGGGCAACCTGGAGCCCGACACTCACCATCTTGGGCGGGGCCAGCACCAGAATGACAAAGCGGACCTCACAGGAGTTCTCCCCCCAGTTCTGTGGTCGAACCAGGCGGCTGATGCACACATGCCTCTTCTGCAGGGCCTTCATGGTGCAGCTGGGTGACAGAGGAGAGGAAAAGGACAGCTGCCACCCTCAGGTGCGGAGGCTGCCGCCACCCTGCGGAGCCTGCAACGGAGGCTACCAGGGGAAAACAAAAAGACCGCATGGGGGCTGGAGAGATGGCTTGGCCGTAAAGAGCACTGGCTGCTCTCGCAGGGGAGCAGAGTTCAAGTCCCAGCATCCACCTGGTAGCTAATAGCACATCAGGAACTCTGGTGTCTGTGGCATGGATGTGGTGCTCATATATACATGGACACACAATACCCACACACATTTAAAAAAAAAAAAAAAACAAGATCAACTAGGACAGAGTGCCTCTATCCTCTTGTCCCAAACTGGAGGTGCCACCACAGTTGTGTTACTTGTCTCTGCAGGGACATGAGACACCTGGCTAGCGCCAGGGTAACGGCAGGGGACCAGGTGTGGGGGTAGGATGGTAACTCACATGATGCAGAGCCATGACTGCTGGTACTGTACCCCTCTGACAGTGGCGGTGACTCCCTGGATGGTGTCTGACAGCAGGTGGACTAAGGACGGAGGAAGGGACACAGGAGAGTCAGCTGCCCCAGCCACACTGTCACGTGCCAGGGCAGGGAGAGGGCCTCACCTTTACTCTCCATGGGGGCCCCCGCGTCTGTAAAGAGCTTGGCCATGAGCAGGTCCAGGTCACAGTCAGGTTCCGCGTGGTTGGGGTCCTGGGCGAAGCGGTTCAGCATGGTCCGAAGCACGTCATCCAGGGAGGTAGCTGTCTCGTTCAGGATGATGCTGGCCTGGGCCAAGAAGCCATCCAGGTCCCGGTGTGCACGGACCTCCTCCTCAAAGTTCTTTAACTTCAGATACTGTAGGGATGCCAAGTGCAGACCACACAGCCTCTGAGTTAGACCATTGTCTCTCTTGCCCCCACATGCCCTCCATAATGGTCTATGAATGTCCCTGCCCACCAGGAACAATATATCTAGGAGAGAAGGTTCGGGCTTGGGCTAGTATGAGAGGAATGCCCAGGAACATGGGGACAGCGTGGCAGATATAGAGGAATCAGCTCTCTTAAACCCTACCTGGAGACCCAGCACAGCCCTGCAGGATGGGCCTCACCTTGCGGGAGGTGTGTAGGAGCACACAGCCACCAGCTGCAGCTTCTAAGTCTAGAGGAACGGGAAGAAAGCTCAGGATGCTGCCCCAGCTCTTCAGGGCTCCTTAGCAGCGCAGGGCCACCTCAAGTCCCCATACCAGATTTGGAGGGCTGCACCTCGAGGTTGACATTGACAAAAAACCGGATGCTCTCGCCAGACACGATGGAGGAGTTGACGGTGTCAAAGACCTCGTCCCCCAGGCTGTCTTCCCGAACTTCAGGGGTATCATCCGTGTCATTCCTGAAGTAGCCCAGAGCTGCCGCTGTCACCGGGAGAGACCATCTATCAGTGCTACACATCATAAGGTAGGTTCTAAGTCCCCGGCATGGGTACTTCTGCTCCATCTCCTGAGTGCATCCCTGATGGTAAGAGGCCTTCCACCAGTCAAGGAGAGAGCTTTGGTTAACAGAAGCAGAAATGCTGGTCCTGCCTGGCCCAGACAGCCGGCACACAGAGCTGAAGGCCCTGCCCAGTGATCTTCTGTACCATTTTTCAGCTCCCCCCTCCCCCGCCCGAGACAAGGTTTCTCCATTTTTTCAGCTTTTTTTTTTTTTTTTTTTTTTTTTTTTGGTTTTTCGAGACAGGGTTTCTCTGTGTAGCTTTGCGCCTCTCCTGGAACTCACTCGGTAGCCCAGGCTGGCCTCGAACTCACAGAGATCCGCCTGGCTCTGCCTCCCGAGTGCTGGGATTAAAGGCGTGCGCCACCACCGCCCGGCTCATTTTTTCAGCTTTAAGAACCAGGGCTCTGCTGTAACTGTATCATTCTGACCCTTCAGCTTAAATTTAATCCTAGCATTTGGCAAACAGAGGCAGACAGATCTCTGTGAGTTCAAGGGCAGCCTGGTCTACATGTAGAGTTGGAGGCCAGCACATGCCTATAATGTAGAACTCAGGAGGCTGAGGCAGAAACATCAAGAGTTTAAGGCTAGCTTGGGCTACACAATGAGGCCCAGTCTAAACAGGAAAACAAAACCAACAAACAAAAACAACTTTAAGGCAACGCCGCACACCTTTAATCCCAGAACTCAGGAGACAGAGGCAGGCAGATCTCTGTGAGTTCAAGGCCAGCCTGGTCTACAGAGCGAGTTCCAAGACAGCCAGGGCTGTTACACAAAGAAACCCTGTTGCAAAAAAACCAAACCAAACAAACAAACACATCCAACTTTGAGCAAGTGGCTCATTCCTGTAGAGCCCAGCACTTGGAAAACTGAGGCAGAAAGACTGCATGAGTTCCAGGCCAACCTGGGCTACATTTCAAAATATAAAAAAGTGGGGCTTATGAGATGGGTCAGTGGTTAAGCACATGCTGCTTAGTCACGAGAACAGGAGTTCAGATCCTGATCCGACACCAGTGCTGGGTAGCTCACAAACGCTTCTAACTGCAGCTCCAAGGGACCCGACATTGTCTTCTAGCCTCATACACATAAGCACTTACACAAACACACGCTCAAATAAAAAGTCTGTATTGCCGTGCGGAGGGCAGTGGTGGCACACACCTTTAACCCCACCACTCAGGAGGCAGCAGGCAGGTGGTCTACGGAGTGAGTTCCAGGACAGCCAGGGCTACAAAGCGAAACTCTGTCTTGAAAAACCATGTACTGAACGTGTGTGTGTCTGTGTGTGTGTGTGTGTCTGTGTGTGTGTGTGTCTGTGTGTGTGTGTGTGTGTGTGTGTGTGTGTGAAAAATAAACAAAAGACTGCTTTCTTTCAGAGTTCTCAGGCTGAGAACCCCAGGGAAGGTGAAGTTGCTACAGATCCAAATGACCCGCGCTCCCACCCCACCCCTGCCTCACTGGTACAGGGCTTCCAGTCTCTCCTCCCAGGGAGGGCAGGTGAGACTGAGGGAAGAGCATCAAGGCTGAGACTCAGTTCAGCAGTTGAAAATACCCAGGAGGCAAGAAAGCCTGCGAACCAGCCAGAAGATAGAAGGTCTCCTTAGTCGGGTTCCCACCACGCCCCTTCCAAACTGCAGCAGGAACTCCTGAGCACAGGAGTTGCAGTCACTCCTGCAGGCTTCCACCACCCTAACATGCAAATGTCTCTTTTCCCTGCAGCCCTGAAAAAATCACAGCCTGAGCCAGCCTGTTATCCTTCCTCTAGGCCAGTCTCAGACTCTCTCCATCTCTCCCTGGGCCAGATAGCTAGGGCCATAGGCATGCCCACTCTTGTTCTATAAGCTAGCTAAGTGTCTCTCCCTTCAGGGCCGTCCTCAGGCTCATTTGGCACGCTCTTCCTAGAGCTCGACCTCTTTGTCAGCCCAGCCAGAATCTCTCTCAGACCGACCTGTAGCTCCACATTTGGGGACACTTTTAGGAAAGAGGCCTTTGTAAGCCAGACCCCACTAGCCACTGACAAACACCTGCACAGGGACAGGGACAGGGACAGGTCAGTGGCATGTCCACACCTGCCAGCCAGTGACTTACCCTGACTCACTTCCACTCCTGCCCTTCAGCTTCCTTTGCACATCCCAGGCCTTGTACCTCGATATCCTGAGCTCACGACCTGATGATCACCCCACCCCATCTCCAGGCCGGGGACTACGGAGCCAAAAAATCATCCTCCTTGCCTTTACTGTGGAGGACATGGTAAACACCCTCCTTAATGCAAGCCTGCCTTATTTAAAACTACTTGGGCTGGGGAGGAGAGCCAGGTAGCACAGCCCTGTTAAAGAGCCAAGAGGATCCAAAGTTCAGTTATCCTCAGCTACATGGTGAGCCAGAGGCCAGCCTGGGCTACATGAGACCCACCAGCCAGGCTCAGTTTTGTTTCTGCAGCCATTCTCAATCCAGTATTTCCTTCTCTACCTGGAGCTCTATCTTTTCTTAGCCTTGGCTCGCCGACCCCTTAGGTCTTTGCAGGTTACCACGCCATTCTCCAGAGCATAGCTACAAAGCTCAGCTGCCAGCCAGCACCTCGACACAATGAGTCCTCCTGCCCTGGGCACCTGGGTGAAAACACGTCACCAGGATGCCTAAACACTGTACCACTGAACAACACAGGAGAGCTGGGGATGCAGCCCAGTGTGTGTAGAGTATGTGCCTAATGTGTGAAACCCAGAGTTCAAGCCCCAGTACCCTATAAACCCGGCCTGGAGGTGAAAGCTTGTAATCTTTTTGTTTGTTTGTTTGTTTTTCGAGACAGGGTTTTCTATGTGTAGTTTTGGTGCCTGTCCTGGCTCTAGTTCTGTAGACCAGGCTGGCCTCGAACTCACAGAGATCCTCCTGGCTCTGCCTCCTGAGTGCTGCGATCAAAGGCGTGCGCCACCACTGTCCAGCCGGTAATGGGAAACTCAAGCTCATATTTGGCTACATAGGGAGTTTTAGGCCAACCTAGGCTACGTGTGATTTTTTTTTTCTCGTACAAAACCAAATTAAAAAACAAAACAAAACACAAAGAAACCTTGGGCAGACACAGATAGGCAGCATGGACCCAAATGCAGGGAAGAAGCTGGAGCAGTTGAAGCAGGGAAAACTGCAGCCTCTCTCTCCGGGGTTAAATGGGGACAGTCAAAGCGTGCATAGCATGTAGTCTAGCCTAAAGCTGGCCAGACACGCAGGGCCCCGGAACAGGGGACCACAGGAGAAAACAGCAAATGGTGTGGCTAGCCATCTGCCCACCCAGGACTTCAGCACGCCTATCAGCTGCCCACCCAGCAAGCCACACAGCCTCCAGAAGGGCGCTAACCACTCCACGGGGCTACACAAGTGGCTTCTGCCGCGTACTTGTTGGCAGACGAATGGGTTGAGTTCCCTAGAGAGTTCTGATCATGGAAGCTTTCTAGATACACACCTGAGAAGTATTCACTGGAGTCCTCAAGGTGTCCATTCTGTGACATGGCCAAAGGACAGTCTTCTACAAGGAAAGCCAAAGAATTGACACCAGCCCCATGGACCACCCCCGGACAGTCTCCTGTACCCTCTTCAACTCAGCCCACCCCACCCCTGCTGACTCCTTATCCTTCCTAGGAACGCATATCAGGCCAAGAGGCAGGGGTCCGAGTACTACGGAGGGGACCCTGCAGTATCTGGGGAGGCCAGTCTTCATTTAGGGTGCTAATCCCTTAGTCCGTCTACTAGGGACTGACTAGGTATGTGAAGGGCGCGAAGGGTGCTTTCTCAGGTCATTTCATCACTAAATCGTCATCAGTACTCAGCTCATTAACCCGAGCATCTCTGACTGAACCGAATCCAGACAGCTCTGGAAGGAAGCAGCTAGAACCCGCCACGCCCAGCACTTTGGGGTGAGGGAGTGTCCATGAGCCTCTCCTCAGATCTGCCCTGGTCCCAGAGGCCACACATGCCCATCTCCGGAGCAATTTTCCCGTCCTCCCCAATCGTCAGGGGGTCCGCCTGGGGGACCGACCCAGCAACTGCCTCCATCCCATGGCGTCACCGTGGTCCTGGGCCGCCAAAGAGGAGCCATTGACCCAGAAAGAAGGGGCGGAGTGGGTATGCAGAACACACTGAGGTTTGAGGTACTATCCGGATGTTTGTGCGAGGAAGGACTCACTGGAGGGGCCGCATACGAGAAAGGGACGTGGTCCACACTCGCGGACCCTGAGAATGAGGGGATGGGCAGGATTCGGAGGCACTAGGGGAGGTAGCGGAGGAGAACAAACCACACCCAGGAGCAGGTGAGCCGCCGGCCAAACCCGGCTCTGGTGGGTGACTCCAGGCGGTGGCGCGCACTCGCAAGCGCCGCCCTGCCCACTTCCTAGTTCCCCACCCTCCGCGTCGCCGGTTACGTTATCTTTCATTCAAGCACTGAAGGTGTGTCTAGACGGCGAACGCAGAACAAGTAACAACGGGATGCCCACGGCGTGCCCGGCCGCCCCTTGCCGCGAGCACCGGGGACCCGGGCCGCCTTCGGTGGAACCCTGCCGCCGGAGGCGCGAAGCCGGCACAGCCTCTCGGACCCCCGGGTCTGCGCTGGAACACACGCCTGCCTGGTGGCCGCGGCCCGGGCTTCTCACCCGGGACTCCGCCGTTCCGGGCGTTCCGGGCGGGCTCGCGGAGGGGAGCCGGTGACACGGTCGCGAGCCGCGCCGCGGTCCTAACCGTGCGGCGGAAGGCCGCTTCCAGCCGAGGTCGCGCCCTCACCCGCGAGGTCTGCTCCCGATCGGTGGCGGCTCGCGTGCGCAGGCCCAGGCGTCGTGGAGCGCGGGCCCGGGAGGGACTCGCAAGCGTCGGAGCAGCCCCCACCGCACTACTCGATCGCGCCCCGAAGGTCCCCGCGCGTCCGCTTTAAAAGCGTGGCGGGACTCCGCCCCCACCTTCGCCCAGCGCCACTGCCAGCCACGCCCGCGGGCTTCAGAGCCGCCCCAACCCGCCCTTGCCGCGCCCCCCGCCGCCAGGGCGGTCCCCAACCCCCGCCCACGCTGCTTTGTGCACTTGCCCGTGGGCTAGCGCCCTAAGCCGCCCCCGCTCCTCCTGCCGGCGCCCGCCCTGGGTTCCTCATCCCTCTCTCAGGTTAAGTAAGAGGCGGCCTGGTCTCTGGAGAGCGGGTTGTGGTGAGTTCTGGCAAGTACGAGGAGCACCTCTTTTCCCTCACCCCACTCCAGCCCCCCACCACCCCCGCCCGAATCTTCGTGGCTTGCAAGTAAGTGATTCTACGGTACGAGGCCTGACTCTGGAGCACACACCTAAGCAAAGCACCATTCTCCAGCCACCCCTCTGCCCCTCCGCGATAGGCTCAGCACAGCGTTCTCATAAATGTCGCTCTACCGTGAAAGGGGGCATGCAGGGCAGGGAGGCATTTGGAGTGTTGCGGGGATTTGTATATTGATAGGTATGATGAGCCAGGCTGGTATTAGGAGCGAAAGTGTGGAGGGCATGGAAGTCTCCACTTCTCACACGCACGCTATTCCAGGATCCCCCGCTCCCAGAACCCCGATGACTCAGGGAGAGCCTCATGCTGCTTTTGTTGGGGTGAAGCAAGCCCTGGGAGGAGAAGCCGCAGGCCATGTCGCTCCACCTATCCATAGGACCTCCTCTGGGTATCTTCTCACTGGAGCTCCAGCCCTATAGACGCTCGCTCGTGGAGTTGCAGGATGGGGGTTCAGGAAAGCTGAAGAACCAACCAGGTAGGATGGCAGGCCCGGGGCCTGGATCCATCTTTCACCCCAGGCACTCTCTCCCAATACCTGGTTGTTCTAATCCTGCTATTCCAGGAAACCTCTGGAGACTGGAGGGGGAACAACTTCCCCAACTCTCCTGAGGAGAAAGGGACGCATTGCCCCCGTGCATGCCTGTGACCCCCTCTGCACCTGACTCTGATTCAGAGAAACTGAGGCTCTGACCTTTCCCGCTTCAGCCTGAGGCCGTGTGTCAAGACCGGTTTCCTTAAGGCTTTCCCACCTGCCCTCTGATGAGCAGACCCGAGGCTGTGGACAAACAGATGCTAAAGTCTTCCTGCCTTTGCCTCACTGGGTGATGATATGAGCAGGCAGGCTGAGGGACCCCAAAATACGCACACACATTCTCATACCCCGCCCCAGCCTCTGACGTCACTGCGTTCTAGGCAGTGTCTAATGACTTTCCAAGCACCTTAAGCTCTGCCTGCCCGTTGCCACTTTTAGAATCTGGGGTGAGAAGCAACCATTTAGTATTTCATTAGAAAAAAATAAAACCAACCAGGCAGCGGTGGGGCTCACCTTTAACCCCAGCACTTGGGAGGCAGGGGCAGGCAGATTTCTCTGAGTTTGAGGCCAGCCTGGTCTACAGAAGTGAGTGGACAGCCAGGGCTACACAGAGAAACCCTGTCTCAAAAAACCACAATAAACCAACAAAGACAGATGTGGTAGCACATGCCTTTAATCCCAGCACTCGGGAGGCAGAGGCAGGCGGATCTCTCTAAGTTTGAGGCCAGCCTGGTCTACAGAGCAAGTTCCAGGCCAGCCAGAACTACATAGTGAGATCTTATCTTTAAAAAAACAAACAAACAGGGGGCTAGAGAGATGGCTCAGTGGGTAAGAGCACTGATTGTTGTTCTTCTAGAGGACCCAGGTTCAATTCCCAGCACCCACGTGGCAGTTCACAACTGTCTGTAACTCCAGGTCCAGGGGTCCTGCTTCATTCATACCAATCAATGCACATAAAATAAAGCTAAATTATAAAACAACAACAACAAAAATAACAAACAAACCAAAACCAACAAAGCATAAGGGTGGAGAGACTGCTCACTAGTTAAGAACACTTACTGCTCTTGTAGGGGGCCTGGGTTTGGTTCTCAGCACCCACATGGTGGCTCACGACTACTTGTAACACCACTTCTGATGCCTGTACCCCAGGCAAAGGCAGAGGCAGAAGGATTAGCAAGTTTAGGATCATCTTTACCTACACAGAGTCTGGCACCATCCTGACCTCTAGAGGCACACACAGCGCATGTATGTAATATGCAGGCAACACATTTATACACATAAAATAAAAATAGGTCAAAAAATACAATGTGACTCGGCAGGTAGAGGCTCTTGCCAAGCCTAACAACTTGAATTCAATCCCAGGAGCCCACACGTGGAAGGACGGAGCCTACTCTCTCAAGTCGCCCTTGACCCTCCACATGCCCCCTGGCACATGCGTCTCTCCAAAGAATAAAGAGCTTTCATAAATAAGGGGGGGGGGGACAGCTTCGAGAAGGCTCGTTGTGTAGAGGGGCTTGCCATGCAAGCCTGGTGACCTGGGGTCAGTCCCTGGAGCCCACGTAGAGGTGTGTGTGGGGGGACTGACTCGAGAACTGCCTTCTGAGACAGGCACGCAGCTCCTTCAAACCACAAAGTCACCGAACTCCCAATCAGATCCAGGAGCACATGCTGCCTTTTCAAAACAGCTTGAATTGGGCCCATTTGCAGCTCCAGCCATGTCTACTCTGTGGCCGTCTACCCAGCATGCTCCTGTCCCTCTGTCAGCCACTTTTCCTTCTGGTGGCTTCCCTCACTGGTGGCCTGGGGAAGTGGGGCTGTTCTACAAGCCGGCTGCAGCCGGTCCCCAGCCTCATCCTACACCACCTGCTCCTGGGGATGTTACTCTACCTGCAGGGACTGCCACAGACCCTCCACCATGACCGGCTCCTTCCTGCCTCGAAGCCTCAGGAGCTTTGACATGACCCATTCACTCTTCAAGCCTCAGAGACTTTTCGTTCATCTTACCTCCTCAAGTTAAACTCCTGCCTTCCCTGGCAGACTCTCTTGGTCCCTGGGTGGGAACACTGCCATTCATTCTTTCTACCTGTTGTCTGGTTCCATCTCCCTGGCTACATGTGAGCACCTGACAGCAGGTCTGTATGTTTGTCCTGCAAGGGCACAGCGTGGGAATAAAAGATGCGTAATGAACTGATGTTTTGAATACCCGTCAGTGTCTCCCTATATGCATATTCAGTCTCATGTTGGGCTTTTATGTCTAAATGGCTTGTTAGGGAAAGAGTCTAAACAAAGATGAAGCCAGTTCTGGCCTACACCTGTCATACCTGGTGGTATTTCAAGCCAATGATTCCTTCACTTCCACTTAGGTACAGCTTGCCAGCTGTACCCCAGGCAGAGGCAGAAGGATAAGCAAGTTTAGGATCATCTTTACCTACACAGAGTCTGGCACCATCCCGAAATACGTGAAACCCTGTCTCAGAAACAGTGTCGGCAGGCATGGAGGCACAGGCCTTTAATCCCAGCACTCAGGGAGGCAGAGGCAGGTGGATCTCTGAGTTCGAGGCCAGCCTGGTCTACAGAGTGAGTTCCAGGACAGCCAGGGCCACACAGAGAAACCCTGTCTTGAAAAAACAAACAAGAACTAAAATAAACAGAAACAAAAATGTTAAAGTGGAGATTTGTGTGTGTGCGTGAGGGGGATTTGTGGATGTGCACTTACAAAGACAGGCACTTATGTGGACAGTGACAAGCACGGAGGCCAGAGGTCAACCTTGCCTGTTGAAACTGAAGTGCTGTCTACCTTGCCTTTGAGAAAGGTCTCTTATTGGTACCTGAGGTCACCAGTTAAGCTAGGGTGCTTAGCTGGTCAGAATCTGGCTGCCTCCACTTCCCAGTCAACAGTGGGTTACCAGTCCAAGATAGGATTTGTTTTTTACGTGGGTGCTCTGGAGAGAACCTGGTCCCCCGTGCTTGCAAAGCAAACGTATTACCGGCTGACCTGTCTGTCTCCCCAGTCCCCGGAAATGAGTCTTTTCAGCTAGAAAATTCCATGAAGATTTCGTCTCAAACGGAAAGTCTGCCTTATCAATCCATCTTTCCTTTTTCCTGTGGTCCTGTTTCTCTATTATTTGTACATTCACCCGGGCATGAAACTTCAGAGATGCAATTTCTCAAAACGTGAAACAATGAGAAGGAAAAACTTCAGCTTCTTTACTGACACAGGAAAAGCAGCAGTCACTGTGGGGTAGCACACTCAGACTGTCAGCTTGGTTCTTTTCCCCTTTGCGGATTTTCACTTACAGGATGAAATATAAAAATCTCTGCGCCTCACACCATCTGTTTTAAGCCGATCTGATCAATTTAGCAATTCAGAGAGTCCTTGAAGAGGGAGAGGAGAATAACTTGTTGATCAACACATTTATTTTTCTTCAGATTTTTGGAGGATGAAACATGTCTGGCATTGTTTCAGAACATAGTGTTTTTTTCCATTTGGGCTTTTTCCACTTTTACCTTCAAGTCATCCCCTTGGCTTTATCTGGTCACTGTCTTGTCATCAACGGTCCCTGCAAAATGGCTCTGTTTGGTACACTTGTTACCACCCCCCACCTGGAGCAGCAGAGGCCCCTGCCTCCCCCAGATAAGTCTGTTTTAAAGGGAAAAAGATTGTCCAGTAGGCTCCCCCAGGACACTGGTGCACTGGGTGTACAAGTGAATTACAAAGTCAAGTAGTGGTGGCCTTTTCTCTATTTGTGGGGTGGTGGTGAATTGTTTGACCCAGGCCTATAAGACCCTGGCAGGCTGGAACTCGCTATCTAGATGAAACTGGCCTTCAACTCAGAGATCCACTTACTTGTGCCTCCCAAGTGCTGGAATTAAAGGCATGTGCCACCATGCCTGGCTAATTTTAATGTGCAGAATACTAACAATTATTTTTGTATTTATTGCGTGTGTTTGCCTACATGTGTATCTCCACCATGTTGATGCCTGGTGCCTGTAGAAATGAGAAGAGAGCGTTGGATCCCCTGGGACTGGTTAGATGCTTGTGAGCCATCATGTTGGTGCTGGGATTTGAACCTGGGTCTTCTGCAAGAGCAACAAGTGCTCTTAACCACTGAACCATCTCTAACAGTCCTCGCTATTATGTTTTGAGACAGGGTCTCACGTGGCCCAGATTGGTTTTAAACTCTGTGCTGTGGAGGATAACCTTGAAGTCCTGGTCTACCTTCCTCTGCCACCCAAGTGCTGGGATTACAAGTGTGTGCCACTATACCCTATTTATTCAGTGTTAAGGGTGGGACCCAGGACTTCTTGCATGCTAGGCTAGTACTCTTATCAACTAAGCTGCAACCCTAGCCTGAGAATTATTTTTTGATGTGTCTGTGCTCATGTGCATGCATGTGTGTGCAGGCCAGTTGGAGAACGTTTCTTTCCCGCCCAACAGTTCCCAAGTAACTGACATGGAGGCTGAATATTAAGTATAAACCCTCGGCCAATAGCGCGGGCTTGTTACTAGCGAACTCTTACATTTAAATTAACTCATATTTCTCATCTATGCTTTGCCAGGTGGCTTGGTACCTTCTCTCAGTACGGCATGCTCATCTTGCTTCTCTTCATCTGTTCAAGACACCTCAGCTCTGCCCTTCTTCCCATCATTCTCCATTTGTCTCTCTCACCTAACCTTACTCTGCCTGGCTCTAGGCCAGTCAGCTTCTTTAGTAAACCAATCACCGTGACGTACATTCAGAGTGTAAGAGAATACCCCACACAGGCCAGGGGACCGCCTTCCTCTGTCAAGTTCATCAGTGCCGAGCCCGATAGTCTCTTACCTCCTGGAACTTGCCAAGTCGGCTAGGCTGGCTGACTGGCTGGCTCCATCTCCCAGAGCTGGTGTTCTAAGCACGTGCCACGACACCCAGATTTAATTCTTTTATTTTTTATGTCTTTTGAGTGTTTTGTCTGCATGTGTATCTGTGCATCACTTGTGTGGCTGGTGCCTGTGGATGCCAGAAGGAGGTGTTGGATCTCCTGGAACTGGAGTTACAAATGGTTGAGAGCTGCTATGTGGGTGCTGGGGATCAAATCCAGGTTCTCTGGAACGGGAGCCATCTCTCCCTAATACTCTAGATGGCCGAAGAGCCACCTCTTCGGCCCAGATTTTAAAACTTGAGTTCTGGGGATCAAACGGAGGTCCTTAGACTAAGCCATTCTGAGAGTTTCATACAATGTATTTTATTATATTCTCCCCCCTTCCCCTCCTACTCACCCGACTTTATGTTCTCTCACTTGAAAAACGAAAATGAAAACAGAAAGCACACACGTCTTGTGCAATGACTTGTCTGGTCTGCTAACTCCTCCCGCCATAGTGTAGTAAAGACAAAGGCTCATACAGCCAAGGCTGACCTCAAACTCCTGACCCTCCGGCCCTGTTACTTGGATTACAGGTGTGTACCACCCTGTCTAGCTTTAGAATGTTTTTAAAGTTTTCCTTTCCTTGGTCAGAAGTCATTATAATCATCAGCACAATGAAAAAAACAAACAAAAACCCCTTGCTTTCCTAATAACTTGTACTAGAAAAGACTATCAGAAAACAATGTTTATGAAAATCACTCGGGTGTATCTGACTCATAATTAAGCTTTGAAGTGGCTTACTGGAGATGTGCAATGGTGGCCTAGAAGCAAGCCCTGACACTTACGTTCCTTCCCACCCAATCTTCCTGGAACTTGGGCCTCTAGTCTGCAAGATGTGAGGCAGGAGACTTGGGGGCACGGTTACTGCTGTGACCCTTTCCCCCGCTCTACCAGACTTTCCGTGTGCTGTGGCATTAAACTCCCAAGCCCTCTGCTACAGCCCTCTGCACCGCTTTAGAAAGCCAGCCCTTAGCTCTTCTTTGGGCCATCGCCCAAAGCTGCCCCCGGGGCACTTTCCTTTGCCTCAGGTCCTGTGGGTATGACAGGAAGCAGTAGCTGTAAGGAGCAGACTGCCTGGAGAGCTGTCCCTCTACGGTCAGCTCTTTTCCCTTGGGGATGAGAGGGCAGATGAGAGCCATGGGAGGCCGGGGCCATGTGGTCCCAACCCCATGCCAGTTCCTGGTGTTCCTCTAGTGCTGCCAGTACTTGGGCCAACTTTGGAAGCTCTTTAGAGTCTGTGCTTCCACGGCCCCACTCCAGAGGCTCTTCCAGACTCAACGAGATGAGGCCAGTGTCCCTACTGCTGTGCCAGTTACTCTGCCTGTTGGTGACTTAGGGGCTCGAATTGAGAAAGTGAGAGTGAGGGGCAAGCCCACAGAGCTTGTAAAGGGAGCTGATCAACCTGTGAAGGCACTGTTGGTCAGGGTTGGGTGAATAAGCATGATGACACATGCCTATAAACCTACTACTTATGAGAACAGAACAATAAGGAGTTCTAGGCCAGCCTCTGTTACATAGCAAGTTTGAGGCCGGCCTGGGCTACAGGACATCCTATTTCAAAGAAAAGAACAGGGCTGGAGAGATGGCTCAGCGGTTAAGAGCACTGGCTGCTCTTCCAAAGGTCCTGAGTTCAATTCCCAGCAACCACATGGTGGCTCACAACAATCTGTAATGAGATCTGGTGCCCTCTTCTGGCGGGCAGACATGGGGGCAGAACAGTGTATACATAATAAATAAATAAATGTTAAAGAAAAGAAAAAAAGAGAGAAAAGAACAACAAAAAGGAGGGTGGAGGGCCTGGGGGTGTAGATGATTGATGGAGCCATGTGCCCAGCGTGATCCACCCTGAGCCTTGCAAAAAAACAAAGCAGGAGGTGGAGAGGCGTGGGCAGGGAGCCCTTGGGAGGTGGGGGTGGGCACTTTTCTTTGGGACAGTCAGTTTTGTGGACCTCGTCTCCAGTTCCTGGGGCTCCTCAAGTGTATAAGGGTGGGTGACTGTGTGATGTGAGTTTTACCCTCTGTGGGGATTCCAAGTGTGAGCTTCAAGGGCTCTTCTCAGCAGTCCTAGCCAGGAACATCCCAGCCAGACTGAGAAAGTCTCCATCCAGTTCCCAGGGCTCCACCCTCCAAAGCCATATCAGGGACATGGGGACAGGCAGGGACAGAGGCAACTTATTGAGTGAGTTTATTGGTCCTTAGCGTTATATCTTAATCTCCAAGGGAAATTCACAGACACAACTGCAGATAAAAACATGTAAAATAATATAAAAATAAATTGAAGGCTACTTTTATATATTTACTGAATTAAGTAGTGTAATAAATACTATAATAAGCAAAAAGCTTCAATCACACAATTCAGTTTCACTGAAGTTATAGTAGTGTTTGTAAATATGAATTTTAAAATTTAAGTTACAAATATTAAAGCATTGAAAAACTAGTATAAAAGTGAATTTTGGCACGTAAGCGAGCTCTTCCATTAGTATTCGACCACGGACAATGAGAAAGCCGCTTCCCACCTAATTTTTTGAGGTACAGCTATCCAACTAGTCAGCAGCATGGCTGGAATACTTACAGTTACAGTCTGTGAGTTGAACTCTTCCCTTTTGAGAAGCCAGAGCTTATTACTGTGCAAAAATTCTCCAAAATCCTAACAGGATTTAGGAGGGACATTTGTATTGATCACAGCCTAAAGGGCTAGTACCCAGGCCTCAGGTCAAAAGCCTGAGGGCTTGGTGGGGCTAACTTGCCTCCAGTATTTGCTTCCTCCCTCCAGTCAAGAAGGGGAGCTCCCACATGAAAACAAACAACCCATAACCTCAGTGACCTCACCACTCTCACACTCACTCCGGTGATCAAACTGAAGCTGCTAACAGGAACGCTGGTAGAAAGCATGTAAGCCCCTGGAGGACTCTGCCTGTCCTGGAAACTGATCCCTACAATCCCTGCTGGGTCCCCTGATACCTATCCACGTCCAAGATTAGAGGCTGCAGCAGTATCATGGCTCTCCTCTGGAGATAGCCTCAGAGCACACTCTTGGACCCAGATGAATCAAGGGGATGCTGAATTCCACAGTCAAAGTCAAGAGACGGCAGGTTGTAGGGAGCAGCACAGGAGAAGCATGGTCCCCTGCTAGTCCTCAAAGAACTCACAGTGTGTGGTTGCTGGGCCCCTCCAGACTCCCAGTAGGCTAGGGAGTATCTAACTGGAGGCTTCAGCTAGCTTTGCCTTCTTGGGGCAAAGAACTTCTGAATGTTCTGCCTTTTCTTCAAAACCACAGTTTTATATTCAAGTTGAGGTAATCAGTTTTCCCTCGTAAGAGGAATGGGGCAGTGGGGCAGGCTGGTGAAAGCACATTTCTATGGACAATGGTCAGAAACCAAGTTCACCACATAGCGTGGCCCCAACCCCTCTTTAAAAACGCTTTTGCGCAGCAGCCAGACTGCCAGGCCAGAGCAGCCAGAGCTCTTGATCTAGAGCTTCCACTGAAAACTTCACAGTAACCCTGCAGGAAATGAAATGGCCTGTGGTTCCCCCCGCCCCCCAAAGGAAATGAAATAGCTTTGTGGTCCCCCTTTCCCTTTATAAGGCTGCTAGCTCAAATTTTAGTTTTTAAAAAGAGCTTGGTGAAGATAAAGGAGCTGTAGTAACTCATTGCTTATTAATCAATTGCACTTAAGATCTATGCTACTGAACCCCAGCCAGAAGTCAGGGATTTCCGGACTGGAGCTCAACAGGAGGGCCCTGTCACCAGTGTATCTTGGAGCTGGGATTGGAGCGTATGTGCCTTTCTCACGAGCTTTTCTTAATGCAAGATTTTTTATCCAATGATACTTGTAATTTGCTTTGTTTGGCTTCAATTTTTTTCATAATACAAGTATATTTTATTGACAAGCCTTGATTATTACTTTGCTTTTTGCACCAAGAGCTCCATTACCAGGCACTCGACCCCATGTGCTCCATCCACCTCACCTCTCCACTGTGCCAGGGCCCTTCCTCAAAAGCCTCTCTACATTACAGAACACGATGCTGGCTTCACCTATGTGCTTCTTCCTAAGGCATGCAAAAAGTCCATGAAACTCAGAAAACACGTATAGCCCAAGCAGCAGAGGCACTCAAGTCCTAGTAGACATCACCTTTAGTGAACTTAGGAAGGTCAGTCTTGGGATGCAAATTAGTTTACCTCTGCTGTATGGTCCAATTAAAAAAAAAAAACCACTGGAGGGGATTCTAATTTGGACATCTGAATTCTTGAAATTCCTGGTCCTCAGGAACCAAGTAAACAAATCCAGGGGCAGTTTCAGGGGAGGTTTTCTGAAATGTATTGCCTTCCATGACGGGGGTGAGGAGGCTGGGTGTCAGAGACCAACAGCCTTCCGCCAAATGATTAGACCTTGGGCCCAAGACAACCAGTTGCAGGATATTCACCTTGACCGGGAGGTGAGGCACTGCCAGGGCTTGGGCAGCAGGCCTGCTCTTGTCTCTGAATTAGAGACCAAAGTGATGCTACCGGGGAGCTCTAGGACCAGGCCCATGGGAATGCTGCTGCTATTAACTCAGGAGCCTCACACTTCCAGAAAGCATCCGATCATGCTTCCATTCATCCCACAAAAGTTCTCTCATCCAGAAAGCATTGTGGATCTCTGCCTGGCCACTGTTTAGGCAACCAGAGGTCCTTTGAATCCCAGCACATCTACTGTGCAAGCCAAAGGCTTCTTTCTCCTCAGCCTCCCATGGTGTTCAGCAGTCCAAGGGAGAGTCTTTATCAGACACCGGAGCTGCTGGCCCACAGGGAGGTGCCAGCTGCTCCTCCTGTGCACAGCCCCACTCAGTGGTACACACAATGCCTTGCAGGATGCAGAGCGAAGAGAGAACAAAGACAACATGTACTATGGCAGGCACAGGCCAGGGAGGACAGAGACAGCCCCTTCAGGAGGGGCCTCAGGAAAGATGGACACCCATTCATTCATTCATCTCTGGTGGGCACAGGCCCAGCTTTCTTTAGGGCTTCTGTTCAAAGAGGTCACGGTACTCCTGCTGCTCCAGCTCGCGGTTGTACCTCTCGATCTCCCGATTGGCCTCCTCCACATAATCATTCATGAACTGGTCCATGACTGGTACCTGGTTAAGGAGGTGAGCCTGGAAGACAGGAAGAAGCACTTCTCCTAGCGGGACCTGGCGGTAGGTGAGGCATAGGGAACCAGAGTATCTAACACAGAGCATCCCAGCTACAATGAGGGGAACAGGCATCATCAAGGGCTAGAGCCAAGCTCTTGGGTTTTATCGGCACGCTGACGCTTGCTAGTCTTGCATTTCATCCTGCCCATCTCTTCACACATGGACTGCTGTAACAGGCCATCTTCACTTTGTATGTCATGACCCCGTTGTTAGCCAAGCTTCCTTCCAACCCCACTTCATGGTGTGGAACAGTACAACTGCTCAATAAAGGGCAAATCTAATGCCAACAACTTTAAAAGGACAGCACAGATGGTTCCTGTGGGATTTGTCCCTGCGAACTCCCCCAGTCTACAGACCCTGCCTGCACCTAGGGCTTGCTGTGCTGGTCCTAGCAGATACCCACTTTACAGGAGAGGCTTGCATCTCCCAGATTTTCACACTGGGACCAAACTGTTTCCAAGGATACGTGGGTGAAAATCGGTCTTGTCCCCAAAAAAGTTAACAAACTGGGTGCCATTGTAAAAGTAGCCTGCAGGTAGGGGATCCAAGTGGCGTTTCACCTGTTGGAAAAGAATCCTGTTGAATTATCTGACAACTTTTTATCATTTATTCATTCAAAACAAATAAACAGAGCTGGGCATCGTGGCCCACACCTTTAATCTCAGCACCCTGAAAGCAGAGGTATGTGGATCTCTAGGAGTCTAAGGCTAGCCTGGTCTACATAGTGAGTTCCAGGCCAGCTAACTAACTGCATAGGTAGCTCAGTAGAGTACCAGCTGTTCTTTCAGAGGATCCAGGTTCAATTCCAAGCACCCACATGGTGGTAGTTCACAACCATCTGTAACTCCAGTTCAGGATCTGACACCCTCTTCTGGCTTCTACAAGCACCAGGTATGATGCACAAACATTGGGACTAGTGATGGCCTATTATGGGGCTTGAGGAAGAGGCTTAGGGGTCAGTCTGCTATGAGTAACGCTCACCCAGGAAATCTCATTTTGACCTTAGGATCCCATAGCCTTCCCATGAACAGCTGTCTACATGGCTTTCTTCTGAGCCTCAGCTGACTTCTGTGTGATATATCTTTTTAAAAAAATAATTTATTTAAGTTTATCTTATGTGCATTGGTGTGAAGGTGTCAGATCCCCTGGAATTGGAGTTACAGACAGTTGTGAGCTGCCATGTGGGTGCTAGGAACTGAACTCAGGACCTCTGGATGAGCAGCCAGTGCTCTTAACCCCTGGGCCATCTCTCCAGCCCCCTGTGTGATATATCTTAAGCAGAGATCTTGTAGAACTACTTGAGCAGGGTGAGCAGGCCAGGCCTCCCATTATCCAGTCCTCTTACAGGTACCAGATCTCTTCCATCTCATCGACAGGTCACAGCACACGTGGCCACTCCATTTACTGAAGCTACAGGGTTAGCTTCTTGACCAGCTTCCCTTTGTGTCCCGAGAGAAGCAAGAATGCCAGGACATCCCACAAATAGTCCCTTACCCTAGGAACCCAAGACAGCACTACAGATCTAGGACAAGCCAGGGAGGGGAAGCTAGGGCAGGCCACTCACATGGATGTTCTTGATCTCCTGCTGGGTCAGCATTCCCCTGGTTTTCAGAGCTTTCCTCTGAGGCTTCTATGCAGACGTAGAGAAAACATACATTTCAACAGAGCTGAGGGAGCACCAGGGTAGCTGAAGGCTCAAAGGAGTTTGGGGGCAGGTTACATGTCAAAGATCCCAGAAGAGGGAAGAGCATATGAACCAGCTTTCGTAGACATGCTATCTTGCTTGTCTACTCCCCTGAGGAAACTACTTTCCCACCACAGAGCCCTGCAAGACAGCTGGGAACAAATGGTAGAGAGCCCAGTGCTT